CTAAAAATGGTTAAGATGGTAAATTTTAGGTTATATGTATTTTATTGCAGTAAAAAAAAGTCCTGATCAGGAAAGACAAAGAAAGGCTGACAAACTGTTCATATTAAAGGGGACTAAAGAGTCATGCCAACTAAGTGCAGTGCACGATCCTGGATTAGATGCTGGACTGGGAAAGACAGGCATATAGATAGCTATAAAGGACGTTTGGGGACAATTGAAGAAATTTAGTTGTGGACCATGGATTAGATAGTAGTAGTATATCAGTTAAATTTTCTGATTTTGATCATTATACTATGGTTATGTAAGACATTAGTTTTTAGTTGCCACACGACAAATTATCACAAATTTAGTAGCTTAAACAGCACCCATTTATTGTCTCAGTTCTGGAGGTCAGAAGTCCAGACAGGCTTAGCCAGGTTCTCTGCTTAGGGTCTCATAGAGCCCAAATCAAGGTGTCTGCCAGGCTGGCCTCTTATGTGCAGGCTCTAGGAAAGATCGCTGCCAAGCTCATTTGGGTTGTTGGCAGAATCCAGTTCCTTGCAGTTGTAGGACTGAGGTCCCTGTTTTCTTGCTGGCTGTGGACCAGAGATCACTCTCAGGTCCTAGAGGCTGCTATCAGGTCCTTTCCACGTGGCCTTCCCCATTCTCAGGCCAGCAGCAGTTCACTGGATCCTCTTGGCGCTTTGAAGCTCTGACTGCCTCTGCTGTTGAAGGGCTGATGTGATTAGGGTGGGTCACCCAGATAACCTCTTTTGCCAGTAACTAAGTAATTGTGGGTGTGATATCACTTCACAGGTTCCACCCACCCTCCCAGGGCCAGGATTAGGAAAGGGTCTGCAGTCACTGGAGTTTGTGTTAGAATTCTGCCTACCCCGTAAGAGAATGTCCTTTTTCTTGAATGATACACACGGAAGTATTTAGGGATCAAAGGGGTATGAAAACAATTTACTCTCAAATAGTTCAGGAAAATGTATATGTATTTATACAGTATATATATACATAGAGAGGAGAGAGAGAAAGAGGGAGGGTGGAAGGGCATGTGAGCGCATGAGCATGACACAGCAAATGGGACAAAATGTAAAAGATTGGCGTTCCTTGTATTATTATTGAAACTTTTCTGTAAGTTTTAAATATGAAAAATTTACGCCCCCCCCCCCCAAAAAAGGAAAGAAAAGTCCAGTCCTTGTTTAGTAGTCAAAAATCTGGACTTCATTTAAAACTAAAGTTTTTTTCCCCTCCCACCTCAACCTGCTTCAGGTCTAGAGTCTGGAATCTTGTGGGAGGAAGAAAGGAGTTCTCCTACCCACTAGCTCGTTCCAGGATTTCTGCTGCATACTGGCGGCGAATGGTGGGGTGGGGGAGAAGCACAAGACAGGCTTTACCTGACATGCATGTAAGCTGATACCAGTTACTTGTAGCTGGGATAGTTGCAAGCTGCTCTCTGGGTGTGGGGTCTACGCCCCACCTCATCACTGGAGAGCTCCTACTGCAGTTCCCCTTAGATGGGTGTCTGCTTTGGCAGTCAGCCCACATGGGCTCCTTCTTGGGAGCATCACACCAGTAGACAGTCATGGGCAGAGTCCCTTTAAGTGGCTCCAGGCCTCATCTCTTTCCCTGCAGGACCCGCGTCTGGACCGTGGTAATACGTTTATAGATCCTTTGCTCTGACAAACCCTGGGGATGTAAGCTCTTCCCAATGTGGCCACCACGAAGGAGCTCATCTCTCGATTTCTGCCTTTAGTCTACTCCAGGCCTGGATTTATGAGCAGCCCCACAGCTCCAGGAGATAGGTCCAGAGGTCATTCCATTAGAGTTAAGGTCAGGGGAAGGAAGCCCACCCCTCCCCTTGGAGTTGGGGAAGGGACTCATAATACACTGACAACTCTTTCCAGAAACATCTCTAATGTCCAACTTCCTGACCTCTTCACTCCTTGCACTCTGCCTCCCTCTTAGTGGCCAGCGCTTGGTTACGGCCCGTGTTCCAGCTGCCCTCTTCCCAGGTCCGGCTTCGGTGTCTAGCTTTGCAATGGGGGATAGTTGAGTCCTTTTCTTTGGACCTTCAGCCAAAACAGGCCGACAGAATTACACTTTAGTATCCTGTTGCATATGTTTATTGCTATTCCTGATTTATTGATTTTAGATATTATCTATTGATTCCTACTGTGGAAGATGAGGATATGGCCCTCTTACATCACCCCAGGCCCCCACTTCTCTTCCCTCCATCCTCTCAGAACAGGTATATCACATTTTTTGGTTAATGCAATGTAAATTATTTGCTTAATTATAATTATGTATTATTGGCTTCTGATCAGAGTCACATATTATGATGTTATTTCCTTCCTCGTAGGATTTTTCCCCCCTGGAATTGAAATTTTTTTAAATTTATTTTGCTAGTTTTCTGTACCATCACCAATTCTTCTCAAAGCTCCAGTGGAATTATAAAACTCCTCTGAAGAGTCTTTTCCACATGATAAAACACCCTATGACGTATCGGTTTCTCTCATCTTCTGGAGGCTTCTGTCGTTGGGTCTTCCATTCCCCTGCTACGTCTAAACCAGCTCCTCTTTAGGCCTGCCCCACAGCGGTGGCCTTAGACTGCCCTGTGTCTCTGTCCTGTTCCCAGGATGCACCTTTCAGGTTTGTATCTCACGCTGTTGGAGCACATCCTCTGGGAACTTGCTGAGAGAGGGTGCACGGGGGCAGTTTGTCTGACTCCACACGTCTGGAAATGCCCTTACTCTGCCCTCACTATTGATAACTTGGTTGGGTGTAGAAGTCCACGTTGGAAGTAATTTTCCTCAGCATTTTGAAAACCTTGCTTTTGGTTTTACTGGTGCTGTTGAGAAATCTAAATGCCTTTTCATTCCTAAATCTTCGCACACAGCCTATCTTTCCCACTCTGAGAAGTTCTAGATCTAGTCCAGTGTTCTGAGGGTTTAATAATAGGGGATTTTTCTTCTTTTGTTCTGGGCGTCGGGTGCTTCTCTTCCATGTGGAAACTCGTATTTTCCAGTTTGTGGAAACATTTTTGTATTATTTCTTCCTATGTTCTCTTTTCTCTCTTCCAAAAAGTCCTATTAGTTAGATATTGAGTTTTTGGTTTTGTTTCATTTTTTCTTTTTCTCCTATTTTTCTCCTATTTTCTGCTTCTGTCTTTTTTGTTCTACTGTCTTGGAGATTTCCTCAATTTTATTTTCTAACAATTCTATTTAATTTTTAAATTTGTCCTATCGTATTTTTTATCCAAAAGCCCTTATTGTTCCTTTCATAGATGATATCATGACTTTTCTCTCTGGAAATATTCATTCTAGTGTGTGTGTGGTTTCTCTTTTTTTTTAAGTTTTGTTTTGCTTCCTGCAATATCTCTGCTTCCTCCAATCCTTTTCCTACTTGTTTCATGTTAGAGGCTTGTCTTGAATAAATGTCTTTAGGTTCGTTCATATTTCAGAGTAGAGCCTTAAAAAACTGTGTGGAAGCTCTGTGTGCGTGGCTGGCACTCGTTAAGGAGTGGGTGTCCCTGTAGGGTGGTCAGCTGTGAACCTGGATGGCTCCTTGAAGAGCCTGCAAATGTCAGTGTTCAGAGGTCTTTGGGGAGGAGGCGGTGGGGGCGGCAATTCAGTGTTTCCGAAGAAAACTCACCCAGTCTCCACCTTGGGGCCTCGGTTCTTGGAGCCGGGTCACGTGCCTTTCAGAGTATAGATTCTACATCTCTCTGTTTGCATTGCAACCCTTCTCCTTCATGTTTCACTGTCCCCTCTCTTCCAGGGTCTGGAACCTCCTGGTTAAGTTTTTCTGTAGACTAAGTGTTCTCCTCCTCGGGTGAGTGTGGGGGTGTTTTCTGGTCTCCTGGACTAAATGAAAGGATGGGGGGTTCCGCTGGTCTCTGAGGACTTCGGGGCAGCCCCGTTTGTATCTGTTCCTTACCCACCATCGTCTGCCGCACCTGGGGCCTCCGGGTCCAGAATCTTTCAGGGATTCTGTGGTCAAATCCACTTCCTTCTCCTGGTTGCCCCTTCTGCCAGCATTTGGTGCTCAGCTCTGTTAGTTCTTCTCTCTCTTTTATCTCCTTTCTTTCTTCCAAAAATATATTAACATTTCTAGTCCTGTTTCTCTTGGACTTATGCTTTTTATTATTATTATTCGTTCTTGATGATGTTTTAAGAAGGATATGTGTTCACTCTACCACACTTTACCAATTTATTTAGTTATATTTTTATCAGTAGTAAATATGTGGATATACGCACACGCTTATAATACATACAGATACAGTCAAGCAATCCAAAAGATGAATAGTGAAAATTTCCTCCCTTTTACCTTGTCCTTTAGTCCCTCCCCAGGAGCACCCACAGTTACTAGCTGCTTGTATGTCCTCCCCAAGAAGGTTTATACACACATTCACACAGACGCATACAAAAGCACTTAAGTTGATATTAATGGATTTTATTTTAAATCGAGAAAGCAATTCTTTGCATACCCCTGAAGAATATTCACATTTTAAATAATGGGCAGTGCTTAACCCAAGGACATGAATCCCTTCTAGGCAGGTTTCAGCTTCCACTGCAGGTGGTAGACATTTTTAAGGGGCCTTTCAAGTGCCCCCTAAAATAATCCGTGTAATTAGACACTTGCACAAAGGCCAGCTGTGGGTGTCGCTGAGGGGCACATGCACGGACAGTTGTCTTCCTGTTTTATGCTTTGTGTTTCTTGCTCTTTGCACCCTTTCCGCTGCAGATGCGCTGAGCTGACTCAGGACCCCCAAGGCCGGCCCATGGAGCTGAGGAGGTTATTAGCCTGGCCAAGGGATATACCCTAATCTGGCTGCCTCTTAGGTGTCAAGAATAAACTGGCACCCTAGATGGGTGTGTTTTCATCATGCCCCAGGCTGAATAGACTTTATTAAGCGACAACCCCAGAGGCAGCCCTGACCAGAAATAGCTTCAGGCGAGTACTTGACTTGATGGTCCATAGCAGTGACTTCGGTATGTTTGTCCCTACAATAGGGCCTGCTGCTGCCAAACCAGACTTGATCTCCAAACTGGAACGTAGAGCTGCGCCCTGGATCAAGGACCCTGACGGGCCAAAGTCGGGGAAAGGTCGTCCTCCGGGTGAGTCTAGACCTACTGAGTTCTGAAGGGCACGTCCAGGGGCCAAGTAGCTACAGCAAGTCACACAGTGTTAGTTTAGACATACTTGTCCTGAACATATTGTGCAGCAGGCCTGTGCTAGGCTCTGGGTAGACAAAGATGAGTAAGAAATGAATCCTGCCCTCAGAGTGTAGAGAGCCTGGGAAACTGGGACACATGGAAAAATAATGTCCTTTGATGAGCAGAAGTGCCAGAGGGACCTGTGGTAGAGCTGATGGGAGGAGGGGCGTGGTAGACTGGTTCTGAGGAACCATAGGCCTGGGAGCCTCTCCCCGCTTCCGCCTTCCTCCTGTTAGTGACAACACTGTTGGTCTGTGAGAATTTGTTGTTCTGCATATCTCAGTCAATAACTTATTAGCTGGTAGCTACTGTGTCGACTTCTGTACCTCCATTCTTTCTAAGGCTCATTAGAAAACTTATGGATGTTTAACCTCATTTCTTTGTGGGCCTCGCAAGAAAATTAAAGCCACTTGTTTATGCAGTAGCATCTATGGCCAAGGTGGTTAATTAAGCTTATTAGCAGCTGATGTCACATGATCCCAGGGTAGCCGTGTGGATAGGGAGGGGGAGACTGGCTAAAGGACCCACAAGGATTGGCAAACAACTCATGGGAAGCCAGACCGACTTTCATAGATTATAATGGGGAAGGGTTTAAATAGAAGCCAGTAATGATTTCTAGAAAGGTGGATCACATTCCTCTTCTCTGCTTTGCATATGGGGTACTTATTGAATTGGGGTGTCTTAGCTGGTAGGAGACTGCACAGTTCTGGGCAGCAAAATCAAGCACAGTTTGATTTTCTCCAAAGGGAAAAAGAAGATGGTGGCCATAAGAGAGGCAGACACACAAGGCTCAGCTATAGCATCTGCATTGCTTCCAGCTCCTTCTGTGGAGACATGTACCTCCTACTGCAATTCCAGCCTTTCTGAAGTAGAAGTAGATGGACCTAGGAAAATCAAGAGGACTTACAGACCCCGTTCAATTCAGAGGTCCTGGTTCGGGCAGTTCCCGTGGTTAGTAATTGACCCAAATGAGACCAAGCTCTTCTGCTCAGCTTGCAAAGAAAGACCTAGTCTCCATGACAAATCGTCCCGGTTAGTCCGAGGTTACACGGGGCCTTTCAAAGTGGAGACTTTAAAATACCATGAAGTCAGCAAAGCACACAAGCTCTGTGTCAACACTGTCCAAATCAAGGAAGACGCCCCTCAGGCTGCCCTTGTTCCAGAAATCTCCAATGACTTGATGGCGAACATGGAACACTTTTTCAATGCCGCCTACTCAATCGCATACCACTCAAGGCCCCTTAATGACTTTGAGAAGATCCTGCAGCTCCTCCAAAGCACTGGGACCATGATTTTGGGCAAGTACCGAAATCGCACCGCATGCACTCAGTTCATCAAATACATCTCTGAGACGCTGAAGAAAGAGATCCTCGAGGATGTCCGGAACTCCCCTTGTGTGAGCGTGCTGTTGGACAGCTCCACAGACACCGCCGACCAGTCCTGCGTGGGGATTTATATCCGCTACTTTAAGGAGATGGAGGTGAAAGAGTCTTACATCACTTTGGCCCCTCTCTACAGTGAGACAGTGGATGGATACTTTGAGACCATCATCTCTGCCCTGGATGAACTGGACATCCCTTTCCGGAAGCCTGGTTGGGTGGTGGGCCTGGGAACTGATGGCTCACCCATGTTGAGCTGCAGAGGAGGCCTTGTCGAAAAATTCCAGGAGGTCATCCCCCAGCTGCTGCCTGTTGATTGTGTAGCCCACCGGCTGCACCTGGCTGTGGTAGATGCTTGTGGGGGCATCGATCTGGTAAAGAAGTGTGACCGGCACATCCGAACCGTCTTCAAGTTCTATCAGTCCTCAAACAAGAGGCTGAATGAGCTGCAGGAAGGCGCGGCTCCCCTGGAGCAGGAAATCATCCGCCTGAAGGACCTGAATGCCATCAGGTGGGTGGCCAGCAAGAGACGCACATTGAATGCACTGATCGTGAGCTGGCCTGCCCTGGCTAGGCACCTCCACAGTGTGGCGGAAGCTGGGGGCCAAATCGGGCACAGGGCCAAAGGCATGCTGAAGCTGATGAAGAGCTTCCATTTTGTCAAGTTCTGCCACTTCCTTTTGGACTTCCTGAGCATCTATAGGCCTTTGTCTGAGGTGTGCCAGAAAGAGATCGTGCTGATTACAGAGGTGAACTCCACGCTGGGACGGGCCTATGTAGCGCTGGAGACCCTCCGTCACCAGGCAGGCCCCAAAGAGGAAGAGTTCAATGCCAGCTTCAAGGATGGGCGGCTCCATGGCATCTTCTTGGACAGAATGGAGATGGCAGAACAGCGGTTCCAGGCAGACAGGGAAAGAATGATCCTGACAGGGATCGAGTACCTTCAGCAAAGGTTTGACACAGACCGTCCCCCGCAGCTCAAGAACATGGAGGTGTTTGACACCATGGCCTGGCCAAGTGGGATTGAACTTGCCAGTTTTGGGAATGATGATATTCTTGCCCTTGCCAGATATTTTGAGCTCTCACTGCCCCCAGGATACAGCGAGGAAGCACTCCTGGAGGAGTGGCTGGGCCTGAAGGCCATCGCCAAGAACCTCCCGTTCTCCATGCTGTGTAAGAACGCCTTGGCCCAGCGCTACCGCTTCCCCTTACTGAGCAGGCTCGTGGCTGTGGTAGTCTGTGTGCCTGTCTCCACCTCCTGCTGTGAGCGGGGATTCAGTGCCATGAACCGGATCAGGACTGATGAGAGGACCAAGCTCTCCAATGAGGTGATCAACATGCTCATGATGACAGCAGTGAATGGTGTGGCAGTCACAGAGTACGACCCCCAGCCTGCCATCCAACACTGGTACCTGACCTCCTCAGGCCGGCGTTTCAGCCATGTCTACACCTGTGCCCAGGTGCCACCCCGCTCCCATGCAAGTAAGTACACGGGCAGAGTTCCTAGAGATGAGAAAACAGGGAAGGGAATCTTATCTTCCCAATGCCATGTGGACCTCAAATCTGGTAGAGTCTGATAAAGTCGGCCATCACAGTAGGTTTGGTCTAAGTTATCATTGAGTTTCTGTCGTGTACTAGACCAGTGAGCGCTCAAGACATGACACTACCCTCAAGGAGCTTGTGATCCAGCTAGAGAGGCAAGACGCACACACTGCAGGCAGCAAGGCATAGTGCTAAGAGCATGAATTTCTGGAACTAGTCTGCCCAGGTTCAAATTCTAACTCTGCTGCTAACTAGCATGTGACCTTGGGCAAGTTAATCTATTTGTGCTTTGGTTTTCCAGCTGTAAAGTGAATTAATACATGTAAAGCGGTTAGGACAATGTCTGGCAAGTAGTACCAATGGCCCTGTTTAAAGGTTAAGACTACTGCTGGGAATAACCAGAGGACTGGACCGGTCCGGGCAGTGACGTTGTGTTCTGAGCGGGGCTGTGTAGACTCCATTTGGAGAGGGAAGAGGTCAGCGCAGGTCAGAGGGGCTGTGAAGGAGGTGCTCCGTGGAGAAGGGTGGGGCCTGTCAGGAGAGGAGTCGTGAGGAGTAGGCCTCACTACCCAGGAGGGCTGGGGTGGGGCCTAGCTTGAGGGGGAAGTTATACCATACAAGAGGGCAGGTTACTGAAAGTCTTAGCAAGAAATTTTCCTCTTTTCAAGTAGTCGCTGAAAACAGAGAACCAGAGAGGTCCTCTGGGCTATTCACGTTTACTTGACAGTGACAGAGCCATGATTCTTATCTCTTGCCGTCTTCTATAGCTGGTCCCCTTCCTCTTGCCTCCGCTCTCATTCTTTACCTCTGAGTTTGTGGTCTTCCACAGTGGACTAGGTCCCAGGGTTGACAGAGGCTCTGTAGGAAGCAGGCTGGCCCTGGACCTGTAGCTGGGCAGCAGGGGAGGGGCCCAGGGTAGAAGCAGAGAGAAGAAAAAAGACAGGCAGAGCCCAGATGGGGGGCCAAGACAGGGACTCTTCACCCAAGCATTTGTGGGTGCATTGTTGTCCGTGTCCAGCCCTGAGGGGGTGAAAGAGAGAAAGGTGGGATCAGGTGTGCCTTTTGCAGGTTATTCTTCTCTTGGGGACAGTAGGACCAGTACCTCTGAAGCCAAGAGAGAACATTACCAGATTTTACGTGACAAAGCCCTCCTTCCCAGGCAGGGTTCCTCAGCCTCAGCACTAGTGACATTTGGGGCCAGATAACTCTCTGTTGTGGGGCCCATCCTGTGCGTTGTTGGACCTTTAGCAGCATGCCTGGTCCTTGCCCATTACATCCCCACTGGTTACCAGTAGCACCCTCCCAGTTGTACCAACACAATGTCTCCAGATGTTGCCAAATGTCCCCTGGGGGGCAAAATCAGCCCAGTGAGATCCGCTGTCTTGGGGTGAAGGAATAGCAGAGTGGGACTAGGTCAGGCCTGCAGAGAGCAGTCCTGTCCTGCCGCCAGTCTCTTCTGCCGTGGTTTTTTCACCGAACATACCCTGGGGCAAGGTTGGACAGGGGAGGGCATTACCATCTCATCTGTTTCCCCTCCGTCTGATTGTGCGTTCTCCTTCCTCCAGCACGAGGGGTGGGGCTCAGGAAGGAGAAGATGGGAGCACTCTATCTGGAGGAGGCTGTGACCCAGGAGCCACCCATTCCGCCCTACAGGGAACCGGTGGAGATCCTGAAGGACTGCATCATGGACCCTCCCGACAGACTCCTGTACCCCCACACCGGCCCAGAGGCCCCCGAGCTGTCCTGATTGAGAGCTCATGTGGGAGCAGGAATCCTAGAGGTTGCCTTGGAGACCCTGTGCTGCCCTGCCCCTTGTGATCACGGTGACAGCGCTCTGCAGATTCTAGGCTGCCCTGGAATCTTCGTTTGGTGGGGACTCTCTAAGCACCAGGAAGTGGACAGTGACAAGATCGTTAAGCCCACATCCCAGAGAGGCAGAGTAATCAGGAGGCACACCACCTGTTACCAAGGCCCCTCTCTAAGCAGGGCAGTGACCTCACAGCGCTTAAATATGCAGAAAGGGGCTTAGCTCAAGTTCATTTTTAAGGTGCTTCAGGAAATAATCCCATCACATGGGAGATTTCACCCCATGTTCTGGTGGCAAGAGGACTTTTCTGAAGTGGGGCCAACTGTTGGGGATAGGGGCTTAAAGGAGCACGCCAGCCCCCTGGACAGTTGGGGGCATTCCAGGAAGGCTGCCCACAGCCTCAGGCACATGGGGAAGGCACTCGGTGAGGGGCAGAGGATGACCAGGCTCTAGGGACAGCTGGCCTGGCTCTGGGATCTGTCACCCTGGCTCCATGGCAGAAGCTGGGAAGCCTTGGCTTCATATGGGAGACTCGCACCAGGGAATTTCTCTACCTCTTCCCGGGGCCTTCCTTTAGGATGAGGCAAGCCAAGACCCTTTGCACAGAGCACTCGAGAACGGTTCTCCCGCTGCAGCTTGGGATGGTGGAGGAAAGTGTTTCCCTGGAGGGAGCCTGATGCCTCCTGCCGGTCCAGTGCTCATGTGTGACCTGCATCAGGCTGAGCCCGGCTTCTGAGGAGTGGCAGGGCCAAGCCAGTGCTTGGGAGGCTTGGGATCTGGCCCCTCTCTGCCGCAGGCAGTGGTTCAACCATGATTATCCCTTCCTCTTTTCTGCGCCTCAGTTTCCCTCTCCATGAAGTGGCAGCAGAGAATCCAAATGCCTGCTGGCTCCCAGCCTGCCATAGAGCTGATGAGTGACAGTGCCACCAGCTCCCAAAGGACAGATCTCGGGCTGCGCAGAGTGACTTCGCTGCCTTCAGCCATTGTCCTTGTCCCTTGCCATGACGTCCTTATTGTGGGAAAAGGTGCTCTCTAAACGTGCCGTCAGCGTGCTGGTCTAGGCCACTCTTCCCCCATTGCCTGAGAACCAGGAGGGGTGCTTGTTAATATGCTCCATCCCAGACCTGCTTCATCAGATCCATGGGCCTGGGGGGTGGGAGCTCGGGGTCTGGCTGTTTTCAGCAAGGTCCCCCAGGAACTTCATGGACAAGCTTGAGAACCTCTAGGTTGAGAACCTGGAGGCACAGAAGGGTGTCCCGCTCGCCCTCGCCCCATCTGTCCTGCCACCCTGAAGTAAAGCACTTTGCCTTCCAAGGCAGCTTCGTTTTGGTAGCCCCAGGCTGCCTCTCTGGCTGGGGAGGATGTCGTGTCTGGGTCCTGCCTTCCTAAGCTCGATGGGAACAAGGGGAGCTTAGAGGGAAGGGCTCCTTTGCCGGCCTTTCACCTGCTTTAGACAGGCAGGAAGTGGTGCTCTGTCCATCCTGGCCTTGCTGCCCGGCTCCAGGCTGGGTCCCTGCTCTGTGCTGCGAGTCCTAGCTGTCCGGCCCTCAACCAGCAGCCTCTCCACTTCCCATTCCTAGAAGGTGCTGGGGGTCCCTGAGATGCTGGTATCGAGTGTCTCATGAGGGCAGACCCCCTGCTTCCCAGTGCTTCTGGCTCTCCCTCCTCGCACCCCACCCTAAGCACTTAGCCTCAGCACATTGCTTTCCTGTTTTCTTTAGCTTCGAGCCAGGAATTCTGTTCTCTCTCTCTGCCTTTGAACCTGTGGAACTGTCTCTCTTCCAGCCTGTGCTCTGGGGTCTGAGGTGGACCTCGGGCCCTTGGAGCTAGAGCCCTGGCAGTGCTGCTCTGGCAGTGGTCAGGATGGAGCCCCGGCCTCCCGCCCCATTCACATAAGTTTCTGTGGTGTTCAGGAGTCTGCCTGAGGCCAGGTGCTGTGGGTGTGAATTGGTGGGATGGAAGAGAACAGGGCCCTTTAAGGTGAGGGTAGCCCCCACCCTATTATAGGGATTTTAAATTGAGGTGACTTTGTGGCACGCACCCTCCTCATGCCATCTTCCATCCTTTCAGAATCCTCAGAGCAAGAGGCTAGTCCTGTGAGCGACTCTGTGTGTGAGTCCACACGCACAACTCCCTGTGCGGGCCTAGGCACTGAGGGGAGGCCAGGTGGGGATGCACCTGCCTCTCCACATCTGTGCTCTGCAGAAGCCTCCAAGGCTGGCTTGTGAGAAAGTTGGGCCCACGGAGGGGGGCCACGGAAAATGCTGTTTATCACAGAGATTTGCACAACCCACGTTTCTCAAGGGCGCAGGCATGCTCTGGCTCTCCTTTGTTAGGGGATGGCAGACGCTTTTGTGGGGTCCCCAGGGCTGACACCTGGTGAGTGCCTTACAGGAGGCCTGTGGCCCAGGCTGACCTCTGTTTCTGGAGACTCCTGCTTCATTTCAGGCCCCAGGGCCTAGAGATCCCATTGTGGGAGAGGCTCGCTATTTTTGCCTCACAAGAAAGCCAGCTGAAAGGCATTGGGAATAGAAGAGCAAGCCCTCTGTCCTTGGCCAGAACCCTGGCCCTGCCTCTACCCTCCTTCCCTACCCGTAATCTTTATCGCATCTCCGTGTCCGCATCCTGGCATTTCACACACACACACCCAGCCCTTGACCGGTGCCCAGAGGGTCTGACACTGCATAACCAGCATTTGACAGTTTGATTTCAGTAGCCATAAAGACCAGTGGGCAGGAGGAACCTCAGCTCGCCTCCCAGCCAGAGGGGTCAGAGAGTCAACCTACTCCCGACCTTCTCCTTCTCTCTCAAGCCCGAGTTGAACTCCTACGGTGCTAAGTATTTAGAAGTACCGTGTGAAGGTTGGCCAGTTCTCTCATCCAGGTGGCTGTCAGCCAAGGACACGCCCAGTGATTGGCCCCAGGATGTCCTCCCTTCCTCTGGTTTCAAAGATGTGCAAATAAGTTTAAAAAAAACCATGTTTGATTCTCAACCTTTTGTTACCTGAATAAAGCAGAGTTTATTTCGACACACGCCTCTGTCCTATAAGACCCCTAAGCCAGAACCGGGAAATGGCAGAAGCTGTCTAAGCTAACCAGATCTGGCTCCTCGCAAAGCTCGCCCCACAACCCCAAGGGACGCGCTGATGCGCCTGCGCGAGTCGGGCCCGGCCGAGCGCGCTCCCCAGGGCGGCCGGGCGCGCGTCTGGGCGGCTCGGTCCCGCTGCGCATGCTCGGTGCCCACCGCCCGGCCGGCCCCGCGCGCTGCGGAGCATCTGCGCCTCGGCCCTGCAGCCCGGCCTGGGCATCGCGCGCCCGGCCATGACGGCGCACTCCTTCGCCCTCCCGGTCATCATCTTCACCACGTTCTGGGGCCTCATAGGCATCGCCGGGCCCTGGTTCGTGCCGAAAGGACCCAACCGCGGGTAAGGGATGCTCGCGGGCCCGGCCTCCCTGCGGCCCCTCCCCTGCGCTGCCGCGAGCGCTGGCCCGAGGCCCGCCTGGCGCCCCCTCCTCCTCCGAGGTTTGCGCTGCGCCGCCTTCAGCCGGGCACCAGGCAGGTGGTCGGGGCCAAGGGGCAGAGACGGTCGTGCTTTAGAAAGGTGGAGAGCCGACTGACACGGGGGACAGTTAAGGGCCACCCCCCTCCAGCCAGTAAAGGCTAGCCAGCCGCTGGTGCATTTTGTTCGCTCCTCACCAGCTGTGACCTTGAGCGAGTGTCAACCCTGCAAGCCTCAGTTTCTTCATAGGTTAAAATGGGGGGGAGGAGGATGGTGATACCTGCCTTTTTAAGGCTACTGTGAGGATTCCACGAAATAATGCATATAAAACTCTTAACGGTGCGTGGCACATCTTAGGTATTGAACGACTGTTAGCCAGTATCACTGTTTTTTGAAGGTCCCCAACAGATTCCTGTAGGTGTTGCTCCGTTTACGAGTTTCTGCTTGGTGTTATCCTCTGTTGTAAGAGCCCTCTCTCCTTGCTTACGAGTTCCTCGAGGTTGGAGATTGTCCTTTTCTCCTCTGCAGACTCCGGGGCCCAGTGTGGGACTGGCCCACGGTGCTTAGTAATGTTGGCAAAATGGATTAAGTGCTGATTTCTCTGCCATCACCTGGAAGTGCTTTAGATCCGAGGTCGTGGATTCGATGTAGCTTTGGCTGGAGACTGCTTGGACATATAGGTGTTGCCTCTGTTCTTCAAGAGCTGCAGGGCTGAGGGCCCACAGCTTCGCTCTGTGAATCATTTTGGTGTCTCACCTCTCCTGCAAACCTTGGTGAGGTCTTTCTTCAGTCTAACTGAAGTCTCTCCTGCTGCATTCCAGGCTTCTGTCTCCAGTCTTCTTTGAGTGAACACAAAGTAGCTAGTCTCGGTTCTCTCTATAACCACTCCCCCTGCCTCAGGGGAGCTCACAGTCTCCTTGCTTCTTGTGCTGTCTTTTGCTCTTATGATTTCCTTCCCCTTGCCCAGTGAATTTTGAATTCCAGAGACCCCCTCCACGGTGGGCTGCCACAAATGTAGCTGTGCCGTGTCTTTTCCCAGCGTGGCTACGCTAAGATGGAGTAACAGTGGGTGATGGGGAAGGGAGATGAAGGGAAGGATTCAAAACGTAACTTGGATGTGGTCACGTCGCCCTCCCCATAAGGTGACACTTAGCATTTTTATGTCCCATCTTGCAATTCTTACCCTGAGTAGAACTCAGCCTCCTGTGTTCAGGTGGCATCAGGAAGGCCAATGGGAAAAGGGCCGACACCGGGAGCTCTTTCTCTGGCCCTCGCGGGGCCTTCTGAGGGCACCGGTTCCGTCCGTCCTGACCTGACGTCCTCTTGCATTGCAGAGTGATCATCACCATGCTGGTAGCCACCGCCGTGTGCTGTTACCTCTTGTAAGTACCGCTCTCCCAGCTCAAGAGCAGCCGGTGCCTTTGTCCTCCTGCCGCCCTCTCCCTAGCCCTGCTCCCCTCTGTCCGGGTGGTGACAGATTCAGCTCTTGGAAGGCGGAGTCTGTAAGTCACGTTTAGGAGGCAGTTTGGAATGGCGACCAGGGCAATGGGCTAGAAGTCGTGAACTCTGATTCTGGTTCTAAATGTGTCCCCTGGACAAGCTTTGTCCTAGTAACAAACAATGAAACTTGTTAAAAAATAACAATGACTCTTAGATGTTAGCTTAAATACCTGGGGACGTACTGGCTTTCAGAATTCTCCCTGGACAGAGCATCTCTAAGGCCCTTTCTCGATGCTGCGTCTTGGTCCTTCGGGGCCTGGCAGAGTGTCCTCATCTGTCCCAGGGAGGGTCTCAGAGGGGCTGGGGTTTGATGGCTCAGAGACCAGGACATAGAGGATGGTGGCTGGGAACGTGGGGAGACGGAGTATACACAGGATGTGGGAGGATTACCAACAACAGATCCACCGTGGGCAGGGGAAAGCAGGCTGCAAAGGAGAGGCACACAGGCAGAAAGGGGCGACATAGGAAAATGCCACACCTAGGAATTATATCTATGAAACATAGACCCGGATCCTGCTGATGATAAGCAGCCCGTGATTTCTGACAGCTTTCTGGGGGTCAGGCACATGACTGGCTGCTGCGGGAGATTCACAGGTGAAAGGGCTGGATCCTTCCTGCGAAACCAGGCAGAGCTCCATCGTACGGTCATTTGAGGCGTGCAGGGTCGTGCACCTCCAGAGCCTTTGGGGTTCTGCTGCTGTGGGGCAAACACGGTCATGATGACGGGGCCTGACCCCCTGGCTGTGCAGCCCGCCCCTGGGGAGCTCAAGGCCTAACGGACAGGCCCTGTCCTGACCCCAGCAGGCCTGGGAGTGGAGCTCTCTGGTTGTCAGCTGCTCTCATCTTGGGGTAGTTCCTTCATCTTCCTCCTAAAAGGGGGTGATTCTGACATGCTTCCTGTCAGACCAGCCCTGTCCTGCTCCATGGTGCATACTAGGGGGGCCCAGACCAGAGATGTTTTAGGGCGCAGCTGGGAGTAGCTCCCAACGTGCGCCTGGAGGCTGTCTTACCTCTTCCCTTATCCCGGGGTCCAGCCCCAACTCAGGGATCTTCTACATCTAAAAAACACGAAATCAAACCCAACCCAAGCCCCACAAGCCCCAGACTGAGCCTGTGTGCCTGCTGGAGCGTGGGTGGCTCCCTGGAACACACCCTGTGGCTGCTGTGTTGGTCCTGTGACCAGGGCTCCTTCTGTGTCCCGGCTCACCCTCTCTGTGCTGTCCCTGGCAGCTGGCTCATCGCCATCCTGGCTCAGCTGAACCCCCTGTTTGGGCCACAGCTGAAGAATGAGACCATCTGGTACGTGCGCTTCCTGTGGGAGTGACAGCTGTGCTCCGGCCCCAGGTACTGGGGGGCGGTGGGTGTGGGTGGGGAGGGCCTGGTGTGGAGGAAGAGAACGGGCGGAGCGTCAGAAGTTTGCGTTTGGATTCGGGCATTCATTTATTCAGCAAAAAATAAATAAACAGTTCTGGGCACCTACTCCCTACCTGCCTGGTGGTGTGCTGCCCCCGGGGATGGACAGAAACCAGGGTCCTCGCAGTGCTTTTCCCAGGCCCAGCCAGGGTTATGGGTTTGCAGGCCATGGAGGAGGTGGGTGTGGATGCAGAATCTGTTCTGAGAGGTGAGGCCTGGGGTGTGGGAGCTGTGAGACTCTGTGTGGGGGCAGAGGGACCTAGAAGGACAGTTGAGGTAAACTGAGTGACCAGTGCAGAGGCTCTCCGGGGAGAGGGGGTATCCACAACAGGGAAGTGACTTCTTATGTGATGTTCTTTGCAGGTGCCCCAGCTCTCTGGATGACCTTGGCTCGACTGACCCTGACAACCCTTCATCCCTGCCCCTACAGCTGTGTCCTGGTCCCCTGGTGCTCCCTCCCCCAGGGCCTGCCTGGTTCTGGGAAGTACCGCCTCCTTCAGCCAATTCAGGCCTCGGGAAGCCCCAAGCTCTCAGGGTCAGCCTAGAGCAGGCAATAGCCAGCCCTCAAACTCTCGCTGCCCCCTCCCAAGTAGATCCTGGCCAGGAGCTGACAAGGGTGGAGTCTGCCTTTTACAAATGGGGCAGCCCGTGGAAGGCCATGTGTCCCGTGGAGAGGGGTATCCAGCCCAGAATGCTCTGAGCCTGGAGTGGGCTGGGCCAGAGAGGAAGTCCTGGGTGGGGAGTCAGGGACCTGTTATCATCAGCTCTGCCCCTGTCCTGCTGTGTGACCCCAGGAAGCGTCTCTGTCTCCGTGGGCTGCCTCACCTGTGAGATGGAGAGGCTCCATCTGATCTGGATGTGTCAAAGGCCTTTTCCAGCTCTGGCGTGGAATTCGTCTTCTTTAATTTTCTGACACATTTAGATGTGGAATTTCTGAAAATGTGGAAGTAATGGAAAAATGTTCACACAAAAAAAGCAACATAGTAATTTGGGCCAAGATTGAAACCTCTATGTTTAGCATCCTTGATAGTCACTTAAATTGGCTTGCTTAGAAAGTCGTATGTCCTCAGAATGTCCTCTTCCCCCTTCCTTCCCTACCTGGTTGCCCCCTGTGGCTAAGCTCCCTCCCCCATTCTCAGAGTCTCAGTCTGGGCACTGTAGGGGCCCCAGGAGGATGAAGAGAAGGGGATAGGCGAGATTTGGGTGGCACTGCGGGCACTGTGCCCACCCTGGCTCCAGAGGCCAGCACCACACCTGTCTTCTCCAGAGTGGACTGGAGATGGTGAGGGATGGAGGCGCACGTGGCCTGACCAAGGCTGGAGGCAAAATGTGGGGGTCAGACCAGAGGGAACCCAGGGACCCTCCAGCCCACCCCCTCATGCATCCCAGGAGAGCTGAGGCTGAGATCTTGGATGTTTGCCTACAGTCCCAGAGCTAATCTGGGTCCCTCATTCTGCCACATTGCCTCCTAGGGGAATAAGCCAATCTCACATATTTATTGACTATATTTATTTGATTGGCATCCTTCCCTGTTAGTGGGTATAATCTTTGGAAGGGCAAGCGAATGTGATGCATCTCACCAGATTTCTTGGTTCTGGGCTTGGCCTGTTGCTCAGAGCTCAGGTTGAGGCCTCCCGTAGGCATCCCCCCAACCAGGCTGTTTTCCTGTCCTGACCTCTATGGGCCTCCTGGAGTGGGATGCTGAGTGTAGCTTGTACTGAAGACCCGACCGTGTCAGGTGACTAGTGAGTGGTGGGAAGTTACTGTTTGGTGACGAAGACCTGGCTGAGGCCAAGTTCGCTTTGTTGCTCTACCCACCTGATACCCCTTTCCTCAGTGGGTGGGTTTGGGGCACAGGAAAGGGGACTGGCAGCTACTTGGAGCTGCAGCACTGGCAGGGGGACACTGAGAACCACATTTTCCTGAGACCTGAGGGAAAGTACAGCTGTGCTGGATTCTGTCCAGAGCCCGGCCTGGCAGGACGACAGAGAACTTGTTCAAGTGGAACTGTGACCACCACTCGTCTGTGCCCCGGGTTAGAGTGCATGGTTCCTGGGGCTGCAATAAAGTGGGTCCCCGACATCTCAACATCTCCAGAGCGTGGCCTGCCTCATTCCTGCATGCCCGAGGGCCCGAATCCACCTGCTCCTCATGGCTCCACCTGCTCCTCACCAGGCCTGGGTGAAAATAAGCTTCCTGCATGGGGCATGGGGAGGGAGCGAGCGGAGAAGCTAGCACTCCCAGGCCAGGGAGTATTGTAGCTCACGGGAGGAGTTGCAAGACTTTGGGGCTGGGGAGGAGCATAGAGGAGGAAGCAGGAGAAGTGAGGGCCCAGACCACTGAGGCCCTCAACTCCCACTGCAGCCTGGATGCCGGGGCCTCCGAGTGGAGAGGAGACGTCCACTGAGTGGTTGGACAGATGGGTGTGAATGTCAGGAGGAAGATGCGGCCTGAAGAGCTGAGAATCTTCAAACAATAATGACTTATCCCTGAGGCCTGGGGTTGGAGTGTGAATGGGAAAAGCCCGGACTAGAACCTGGGGAGTGCCAGCATTCGTGGGGTGGGCAGGTGAAGACAGCCCGTCGAGGATACGAGAGGCTGCCAAGGACACAGGAGGAGAGTGGGTGAGCATAATGTCATGAAGTCCCAAGGAAGTGATTCGAGAGGAGGGACTGGTTCCTTGAGAAGGAGGGCAGGGAAGGTGAGAAAGACAAGTGACAGCTTGAGGCGAACCCCTCAGACCCTCTGAAAAGCCTAGAGAGATGGAAGGGGGCGAAACAAGGAGGGGACCTTCTTGGGTCAGTTTTTCTGGGTCTCTGCAGGTCAGGCCCTGGGCCTGGGGAACGTACCCCATAAGGCTGCCCTGTACCTCCAGCCTCCAGCCCTGCAGCTGAAACTTAAACCAAGCCCAGCCTCCTGGGCCATCTGCTCCCCGAGCTGCATTCCCCCTTAGGGCCTGGGGTCTGGGGTGCTGAAGATCACTGGTCCAGGCTCAGGGTTGGGGGAGGGTGTCTCACAAATGGTTGCTTCTCCTTCTTCAGGTTCTGGGCTTCCCCAGTGTTGCACTGCCCCAGCTCCTCGTCAGACCGAGGCATGTGTGTGTCTGTCTCTGAATTCTCACTGAACCACCACGGTGGAGGCATCCTCAGTTCCTGGGGAGGGGGGGTCCAGGGGAGTGCCCCTGCTCTCTGGGCGTCCCCTGAGCAGCTCAGAGGGGGCGGCTCCTTCCCAGCATGGTGGCTGTGCTCCCCTCTTCCTTCCTTTCTTTCTGCCTGTGCAGCCCTATTGTGGTGAGAGGCTGAGAGCTTGGCTGCGCTGCACCCCCTCCCAGGTTCTGGTGCCCACCGGCTCTGTGAGGATTGCCTTCCTACGGAAGCTTCCGCCCCACACCCAAGGCAGGAACTGCAGGCTGAGCAGGATTTGTCAGAGATAAACACAGCTGGACATTCGTTAAAGCGATGAAATGGGGTTTTATTCTGTAACTACTGACAGTAGGGGAAATGTGAGCTCTGTCCAGTGGGTGCTGAGGTGACTGGTCCGTTTGAGGGAGAATGAGAGAGGAGGGAGAGGGGTGAGTGGGCCCAGGTAGACTCAGGAGAGTGAAAAACCGCAAGGGTTGGTCAGTGCCAGAGTGACTAGTCCAGCTGCGTCTCCACAGAGACAGGGGGACAGAGGCCCATCCTTCCTGATTCCATTTCAGAGGAAGGGCTTTTGGGTCCTTGAGAAAGACGTTCCTGGGTTGCAGGAGATACATACGTACATATCTCAAAGGGACAGAGGAAGGATTTGCAATTGTAAGCTTTTTAAAGTAAATGCTCTAAGAAAGGTCTGGGGGTGGGGGGTGGGCAGGGTGTCAGAGGCCTATGGTCAAATATTGGCTAGAACAAACAGTAAGCTCTTGTGACAGCCCAGAGCTTTTTCAGATGGGAACTTAGCAGGCCTGGGTTGTCCCGGGGATGGGGCCTTAGGCTTCCAGAAGCCATGCTAGGTTGGTGGGGTCAGAATTTGGACGGACTTCTTATATGCCCAGAATTCTTGTAGTTTCAAGCAAGAAGCGCCCCCCCCCCCCACCACCACGTGGGAGACACATCAGTAAATGTTGGTCTCAGACACTCAGAGAACCTACATGAAGAAAAAGATCCCTAAAGACAGGCAGCGGCTGTGAGTAGGATCCCCCTGCACCATACCTACCGGAGACCGCCCTCGGGCGGGACCAGCCCATGAAGGCCAGAGGCTGCCAGGCTAAGCTGCACACACACAGGGCGGCCAGCAGAGGGCAGTGCCCCCATGCGGAATGCAATCCTCCAGGGGACCAGTTTATGCTGCCACTGGGGGTGCTTTGCGCTGATGTTGCGGGTCGTGGCCTTAGGCCATGGCTTTTAGTGGGGACAGGGACAATTCTACAGGCGATACCTTAGCCTGGATGAAATGTCCTTCAAGGATATTTAACAACAACCCTGACTAATTGAGCAGTTACCAGGTGCCAGGCACTGCTTGGGAAAGCTGAAGGGCAAAGAGCTAAAGTACCTTGCCAACCTGATGCTGCGCCCACGCCAGGCTTCCCAACAATCTTCTGAGACCTTCTCCCACCTCAGCGTTCCAATCCATAAGAGGGATGCTCATCGGCCTGGATTCTCAGTGGGGAGTGGGCGGTACCTACAGAGGGACACTGTTACTGCAGGGCACAGGCTCACCCCTCCTTAAGGAAGCCCTAAAACAAGGCCCTGGATGAGTTTTGGTTGCTCAATAGATACAGGATTGTTGGTAACAACGGGGATGTGAGGAACGGAGGTGAAATCGAGTGGGCCGGTTGGCGCTGCTCCTGATCAGCTCCATATCTATGTGCTGGAAGTGACCTTTGTTTGTAAACCTTGGGGTTTCCAGGAACAAAGTCAGTTGGCAGCCACCACAGTTTTGCTTGACTTGTAACACCAGACAAGTAAGGGCAGGTGACCAAAGTCTATGCTCACTCAGCCCACGCTCCGTGTTTGCACACCTGCCTGAGAATCTCTTGGAACAGAACAAACCCAGAGAATGCTGGGCCCAAAGCCACGTCTGTTAGGACAGACTCTCCAGAGGAACCCAGACTTTTCATAAGCGCTCCGGGTGGTTCTTAGGCCCGCACAGGTCTAGGGACCAGAGTTTTGTAATCATGCAGTGGTATTTTGAGGGTGGAATGTGGTCCACCTCTACTAGAATTACCTGGAATGCTTGAAAATGCAGATGCCTGGGCCCACTGCAAACCCTGCGGGATTAGAATGTCACAGATGCGACTCAGACTTTGCATTTTAAACAAGCTTCCCAAGGGTTCTTGTGCTACTGAAACCTCTAAGCAGGGTTTCCCAGCCTCGGCGCTATCGACAGTTTGGGCTGGATAATTCTTTGTTGGGGGCGAGGGGTGCTGTCCTGTGCATTGTAGGATGTTTAGAGCACCCCTGACCTCTACCCACCAGATGCCAGCAGATCCCTTCTTCCTGCTCCCAGTTGTGACAGCCACACACGTCTCCAGCCGTTTTGAAATGCTCCCTCATGGGCCAAATCTGTCGCCCTCTCGCCCTGCTTTGGGAACCACCACTCTAGAATCTGGACCCTTCATGTGATTGATGAAATATAATCAGTTGCCCGACTCAGAGCCCCTGCAAAAGGAGGTTGGGAAACCTCGAGGGGGCTGGTATCCTGAGACCAGGGTGCCCGGTGAGCCTTTCCCGGCAGGACCTGGAGTTTCTGGCCTGGAGACCACGCCCTGGGGAGAAGGAAGCAATGGAGCTTTAGGGGGTGTCTGAGCAACTATAATCCCAGCGGCGTGCGGTCCAGCAATAAGCTGGTGGCTCATCGGAGACGGGGAGAGGGAGGGGGCCCCGGAGAACCTTGAGCTCAGCCTGCGGGCATCTTCCCTGAAAGGGTCGGTGGGTATGGTTGGGATGGATATTCTCGGAAACCCCCCGCAGCTCCCTCAGCTCAGGACTAAGGGCCCTGAGGGCAGCAAGGCTTTTCCTCCCCACTGAAGAGGCCAGCCTTTGTTCCCTGCCAAAGACCTGGCAGACATCAGGCTGGCGATTCTTCTCACTGCCCTTTCTGTGTCTCAGGCAGCAGGAGCACTGGGCGCAGCAGAGGCTGCAGCCCTGATCAGCTGTGATACCATGTGCAGTGGCTGTGCCCTGGGTCTGCGGAGATTGATTGGGCAAACATAGTTTTCTCTTTTTTCTTTCTGCCCAGCCTTCCAGAAGCCATTCCCTTTGCCTGAGCAGCTCCGCTCAGCTCCGAGGTTGAGAGAGCAGGATCGAGAACTGGGCTGCCGGGTTCAAATTCCAGCCCCACCAATTATTAGTTGAGTGCAAGTTGCTTAGTCTTTCTGAGCTTCAGCTTTATTGCCGAGTTGCTATAGTAACAATAATAGTGCCTGCCTCATAGGGGTTGTGAACGTGAGCTGAGAGAGTAGAGGAAAGTGCCTGGCTCGTTGATAAATGCCCGCTAATCATCACATTATTTTTACATATTTACCCTTTAGTTCCAGGCCACACTTTATTCCGCCAGGATCTCAGCTTCCTTCGTCTTTTCTTGTTTCCATCACGGACACGATGCTGATCCACCTGTGGAAAAGGAAGTGGCGAGCACCCTGGGAGCTTTGATGTGTAGGACAGGTCCTGGGAATAAGGGCCACAAAAACACCTGGGGCCTGTTTAGTATCTGTGTTTCTGTTTTACGTCAAATGTCCTTAACATGATCTATACGTGTAATGTCCTCAATAAAAACACTAATGCTTTTGGGAGGGTGTAGGGAGAGAGAATGGGTAATGGAGCAGATATACTGATTCTGAAGTTCTCTGGGAAAAATAAACATGTAAGAAACAACCAGGAAATTTCTGAAGGAGGAGAGTATTGAGAGGGACACTCTCATGCCCAGATATTTAGAAGTCTTATAAAGTCACAATTTTCAGGGCTACAGAAATAAAAACAATGTTGCTGGCACATGAATAGACAGACAGAGCAATGGAAGAAAGTAAGAGTCCAGAAATAAACTCAAATTGATAAGCGTGGCAAATCAAATCTGCGAGGAAGGGTGAGTAAAGGCTCTGAACAGTGCTGGGACTTCTCCCTCTGCCAACAAAATAAGTGGCAGATGGATCAGAGATTTAACAAGTTTCCATGAAACTATAAATGTTCTAGAAGAAAACACAGGAGAATTTTAGAAGATTGTCTTATAATAGGGGAGGTCTAACTGAGAATGAAAAAAGAAACCCAGCAGTGGTGAAGATAAAGCTTGATAATTTAAACTACATTTAAACTTTCTGCACAATAAAAAGAAAAAGTTTAAAAAGGTAAATGATAAACAGGGGAAATGATTTGCAACTCATATGACAGACAGAGAGTTTGTTAACAAGATAAAAACAGCACCTCAAGTAAATGGGCAAAGGAGACAAGCAGGCACTTCACAAAAGAAGTAGAAATTACTTTTGAGCATGAAAAGATGCCTCACATCATTTATAATCAAGGAAAGCAAATTAAAACAACAGTGTAACCCCATCATTACCTATTATAGTAGCAAACATCAAACCGATAATAGGCTGCACTGGACAAGTCCATTGGTAGACACCATCAATGTCCCATGCATTTCCCTTTGCTCTCAACACTCCATGCACAGCAGCTGACTTCCAACTGCCAGCACCATCCTTATGTCCCATGCAGCAAGCTGGAAGTGCCATCAAGAAATTATTGCCATCAGGGCACTCTTCAACCAATGGCAGATGGGACTTGGTATGTAAATGCTCCCAGAGTTTCTCCAGCTCCAGTCGCCCACAGAGTAGCTGGCTTGCACTTCTGCCTTCACCATGAGAAATGCACGCCCTGGACAGCCTACTGTCCCCAGAGAAGAACCATGTGGAGCAGACTAATCACAAAATGACCTAGAGCCAAGTCTGGGCAAACCTAGGCTAGACTGGCGAGCCCCAGCAGAAGCAGGGTCATCTGAGCAAAAAATAAATCCTTCTTGTAAGTCACAGTTTCCAGGTGTTTTATTATGCAGCATTATGGTGGCATAGCTGACTGATACAATGTTATTACGTAGAGATTGTGATATACTTTTTATGTTTCTACTCCCTTATGGATGACACTTGCATAACTTCCAGGTCTTCCTCTTACAGATGAGGAGCACTGCTGTATTTATTTTTGTGCACAAGCACAGGAACTTCTCTAGGATGTGTATCTCCACAAGAAAGAGCTGAGTTGTGGATGACGTTTACTTTCAACATTACAAGACATCGCCAAATTGTTCTCCACAGTAATTGTTTCAATTTACACTCCTACCAACCTTATATGAATTCCTAGACTTCATTTGTTAGTCAGCATTTTTTAGTTTTTCAACCAGATAATGTGTGTGAAATGGTATCTTTTTTAAACTTGTGTTTCCCTAATAACTGGTGAGCTTGACTCTTCATCTGTTTATTGACCATTTGAGTTTCTCTTCTCTAATTTGCCTATCCGTATTGTTTGCCTGCTTTTCTATGAGCTTTTTTGCTTTTTCTTCTTGGTTTATAGAATTTCTTTATATATTTTACTACAAGTCCCTGTAATCATGAGCATCTAGAGCCAGGAAGAGAGGGAAGAAGACGGTGTGTGGTGAGAGCAGACAGCCCCATCTCTTCTACTGCTCTTCAAGATCATTGTTAAGAAAATAAAAAGCAAACCACAAATTAGGAGAAAATATTTGCAATACATATATCTGTCAAAGGATTTGTATCCTGAATATATAAAGAATTGAAGAAAATATAAATATATAAAGAATATAGAGAATTCGACAATAATACAAACCCAATTTTTTAAAGTGGGCAAATAATTTGAACCCACACTTTACAAAAGAAGACGTGCAAATGGCCAATAAGCACACAAAAACATAGTCAACATCATTAGTCATCTGGGAATGCAAATTAAAAACACAGTGAGATACCACCATAAGTGAATAGCTAAAATGAAAAAGACTGACAATACAAAGTGTTGACAAGGATTTGGAGCAACTTGAACATTGCTGTTAGGAATATAAAATGACAAACACTTTGGAAAACAGTATGGCAGTTTCTTAAGAAGTTAAACATAATTTGCCATACAACCTACATACCCACTGCTATCTTACTTACCTAAGATAAATGAAAATGTATGTCTACACAAAGACTTTCACATGAACATTCACAGCAGCTTTATTTGAGATAGCCCCAAATTGGAAATAACCCAAATCAAGAGGGAGAGTGGGTAAACAAATTGTGCTGTATTCATATAATGGAATTCTACTCAGCATAATAAGGAAGGAGTACCTGATTCACACATCAACATGGATGAATCGCAAAAACATTGTGTTAAGCAAAAGAAGCCAGGCATATAAGAGTGCATACTGTAGAGCTCCATGTATATGAAGCACTAGAAAAAATGTAAATCTGATTTTTAATAACCGAAGGCATATTAGCAGTTACCTGAGGCCCGGGGTGAGAGAGTAACTGGGGAAAAAGCAAAAGGGATCTATTATTTTTGGGGGGATGGTGATAGAAATATCCTATATCTTGACTGTGGTGGTGGTTCTTCAGGTGAATAACTTTGTCAAAACTCATTGAAATGCACACTTAAAATTGCAACATTTATCGGATCTAAATAATGCCTTAAAAAAAACAGAGATGTATTCCTGCAGGGATAGACAATTAGCATAGAATAGAAAGACATCAGAACAGAATATAGAACTTAAAAATAGACACTGTGTGTATGGAAGGAAAGAGGGGGGCAGAACAAACCAGTGAGGAAATGGACTGTGGGAGCACTGGCTCTGTAAATGGGAAAAGGTGAGATTAATTCCTACCTCAGATCAGGCACAAAAGTAAAGTCCAGGCAGATTAAAGACCTAAAGCAAACATATACTCTTTCCAGTGTTTTTGCAGGTGTCTGAAATGTTTTTTGTGGTTTTCCAGATGTTTGAAGTATTTTATATTTAAAAACAAATTTTAAAATACATACAAGTCATGAAGTGGGCAAAGATTCTTTAAAAGGACTCAAAAAGCACTAACGATAAAAGAAAGACTGACAAGTTGAACTTCATTGCATGGAACTTCTGTTCATCACAATACATGATTAAGAGAGGAAAAGGCAAGAGACAGACTGGGGGAGGATATTCACAATACGGAAAAACAAACAACCTAATTGTTTTAAAAACAGGAACATTGTTGAATGGGCTCTTCAAAAGTGGATATGCAGATAGCCAATAGATATGGAAAAGATGCCCAGTATGGAAGGAATTAAATATTATAAGAAAAAGATGTGGCACATTTACATGCTAATTCCTTGTCAGCATTAAAAATATTTTATTTCAGTTTTTGGTATAGTTAGTACATTCCTATGAAATAAAATAGAAAAGGTACAAATGAGTTTACAGTGCAAAGTCCCCGCTTTGACCCCTCAGCAACCTGGCTCCCTTCCAGAGTCTCTGAAGTCGCTGTTACAAGTTCTTGTTTATCTTTCCAGGGAAGTCCTACACATGTAGAAGCAAACACATCAAGGGATCATTTCTCCAAGAAGACATAAGAATCCTTAATGTGTATGTGCCTAACAACAAAGCGTCAATACATGAGAGGCAAAGACTGATCGAACTGCAAAGAGAAATAGATGCATCCACTATAATAGTTGGAGACTTCAACATCCCTTTATCAGAAATAAAAGCAAACACATACATTCTCACACATATAATACACACATACATTCTTTCCTTAAGGACATAAAAACCTACATTATTCTCTACCTTTTCTTTTTTTTGCAATTGATGATTTATCTTGAAAAATCAGCCCATATCAGGGGCTGGCCCTGTGGCCGAGTGGTTAAGTTCGTGCGCTCTCCTACAGGCGGCCCAGTGTTTCGTTGGTTCGAATCCTGGGTGTGGACATGGCACTGCTCATCAGACCACGCTGAGGCAGGGTCCCACATTCCACAACTAGAAGGACCCACAACGAAGAACATACAACTATGTACTGGGGGGCTTTGGGGAGAAAAAGGAAAAAAAAAGTCTGTATCAGTACACAAAGTTTCTTTATTTTTAAAAATGTATGCGTAACATTCCATCATATGGATGTACCATAATTACTTTAAGCAAGACACTGGGCTTGTTTTTAGACCTTTTATTCCATTCTTAATCTGGCTGTTAATATGTTGCACCAGTACACGATGTTTCAACTGTAGTAGCTTTAAATATATTTTTATATGAGGTAGTTTGTTCCTACCTACCCCCAACCATTACAACTCTTAGTCCAAATTTTTCTAGCTACTCTCACTTGTTTATTTTTCCTTCTGAACTTTAGAATCACCTAATCTGGTTCTAAAAAGCTCTGTTGGATTTATTTCATTAAATTTGCAGATTATTTTAGAAAGAATTGATCCTTTAAGGTATTGTCTCCCTAACCCTGAACATGATATGCCTTTCCATTTGTTCAGATACTTTTTGTAGTCCTTAGTGATGTTTAAAGGTTTATTTTTTTCACGTAGGTTTTGTACATTTCTTGTTAAGCTTTTTCCATGATGTTTAATCTTTTTATTGCTAGTAAAATGCAACATTTCCTTCCTTTATATTTTCTAAATGGTGGTTGATTGCATATACATATGGAGGCTTTTGATGTCTATATATTAATATTAAACCCAGCCACCTTACTGAATTCTCTTATCACTTATAATGGTTTTTTCAGTTTATTATCTTGTGTCTCCCAGTTTTGCAATCAAATCATCACTGGTTCTAGAGTGCCTCTGGGTTAATACTGCAAATGGGCCAGCTCTAAGCCCATTATGCATGGACCCTCATGTAAAATACAGCTTTAAAATCATTTGTGGCTCTTTCCATGTCCTACTTTAACACGCTGTGTGACTGAATCTCAGTTTCCTCATCTGTATAATGGAGAAACCAATATCTTCATTTCTGAGGCATGGGAAGAATCAAGTAAGATTTAAAATAACTTTCATAAAGTGTAACAATGCATACTTTTGTGGCAGGAGTCCTAGTTTTAGCCCAAGCAGGAGGATTGGACCAGCCTGGAACTGATTTGCTTGGGGCCAGAGTAAAGGCACTAGAAGATGGAAAAAGCTGAAACTACCCCTGGTAAGATGAATAGGGAGGACTGCCCAAAGCCTGATGATCCCCTCAGCCTAGGGCCTCAAACTGTCTGACTCTAGAGGTGGAAAGAAGCTCAAGGTAGCCTGGAGACAAGAGTTGGGCACTTTGGTGCCCAGGTGGAACCAACGTGGGAGAGAGAGAAACATTCTCTGCTCAGCCTAGAAAATGTGGCCTCTTTGGCCCCTGGACAACTCAGCTTGGAGAGGTGGCAGAGTGTCCCAGCGGACAGGGCCACAGCCTTCCTCCTGAGTTATGGGCAAGACCTGTGGTTGTCACCTGGCAGTGCGAATTTGTCCCAGGAGACACCCTGAGCGGGTTTCCTGAAATACTGGGCGAGCCTTCAGGGCGGGAAGAGATCTCGATATCCGGATCATTATCGTTAGCATCGTGGTCCCTTTCTGTCTGCACGTGCGCAAGAGACCCCGGTCGCCCTCGGACAGACTCCGGCGGCGCAGAAAGCCAGGGTGAATGGGTCCTTCGGGATCCGTTAGCAGAGGAGGAAGACGAGGACACAATCAGCCACGAACGCGTACGCGTGCTTCCTCCGAGGCCACACCGGTAAATCCGCACTACGAAACGGCGCGAAAGAGTCCCCGTCACGGCCAGAACAGCGCGCGACTTCCGGCCGAGGAAGCGGTGCGACTCCATTGCTTCCGGCCGCTGCCGCCTGCGCCTGCGCACTCGTGCCGGCCTTTGGCGGGAGGAAGGTACCAACTGCGGGGCGGGGGGGCCTCCTCGGTCTCTCGCTCCCGGAAGTAGCCCTTTGCGCGTCCCGGAACCCAGAGCCCCCCCAGGCTCTGCTGGATCCGTGGCGTCTTCCGGGGGCTCCGGCGGCTTTGCGTGGGTGGGTGGGCGCGAGCGCCTGTGGTGGGCGCCGCGCTTGTCTCGGCAGCTTGGGTGGCTGGCTTTCGGCGGGCGGCCGGCCCCATCCCGGACCCCTGGCGTTAGGTAAGCTGGAGCGGGGGCGTTGTGGTCCCACTTCACAGACGTGGACGCTGAGGCTTGGGGAACGGGGGCGGCTTTCCGGACCTGCCCCGCCTCGCCCCGCCCATCGGACGGCGCAGGTGTCCCCCTCCTAGGCCAGCCTCCCCTTCCCAGTGCCCCGCACCTAAAACACGCCAGGTGAGGCCAGAATGTACTGGACAGCAGCTCGTATCCATCGCTCACTCTGTGTCAAGAGCTGCCCTTAAATATGCTGTAATATACGTGCATTAATTCACTTATTCCATGACAAGCTTGTGAGGTGGATGGTTTTATCCCTGTGGTATAGACGAGGAAACCGAGGCTCACCAGCGCAAGATCTCAACTGGTGGGTGGCAGCCAGGATTTAAACCCACATAGATTGCCTCTGGACTGCCTGCTCTCAATCCTTATGCAAAGCAGCCTCGCAGAAAAGAGCAAAAGACTTTAAAACAGATCTCATTTTATGTTACTTTTGCATAATGTGCAATCTAATGATGCATGGTTATTGTTTAAAATCTCTCTCTTAGGGTTTGCAAGTAGCCAAATTTACTTTTGGGACAAAACCCAAAAATACATGGTTTGCTCTACTCTTTTCCTTCCACACGTTTCTCTCCTCTCATCCTGTTCCTCATTGCCTTTCCAGCTCCTCACAAGTGAGTGGGTCAGGAGATGAGAAGCCCAGGACTGGAGGGCGCAGCAAGTGCTCTGAAGTGCCCTGGGGAATAGAGGCTAGGTAGACACCCCCCTCTGCCCCAGTGCAGAGCTGAGAGAAGACAGGGCCAGTGGGATTGGACAGAGTGAAAACTCAGAGAAAGAGCCAGCAAAGCTATTGAGTGCCCAGGGCAACTGAGCTCTGCACGGGCCCGGGGGTGAAGCAGGCACAGGAGGAATAGAAGAGCGGCCTGGGCACGTGGGGGAGGGCCTGGTGAGAGTAGTTGGAAGAAAGTCCTCATCCGGGGAGCCAACACATAGGTGAGTGCTGAGGCACCCCCTGTCTCAGGCTTCCCCAGCAGCTTGCTGCCTCTGCCAATATATGGCTTCCCCTTGGGAACCTGTAGGCCCTTGGGCATAAACTGCCTCAGTTCCTTCTGCTGTCCACACCCGAGGACTCGCCTGCCCCCACAGCCATCCTTCCTTCCTTCGCTCCGTCAGAAAGAAATAGATTCTTGTCTCCAAGGATAAGCCCACCCCGACCCGCGCCCTGAATCCCTTGCCCTCAGAAACTCCTGCCATCACTGCCCCTCTCTCCTGTATATTTGGCCTTAGTTTTCCCACTGCACATTTTCTCTGTTTGGAGACATAGCCAGGCCTTTTCCCTCCCATCCCAAAGCATGACTGTCCCTTCCCCACCCCACCTCGGACGTCAAAAGTACCTGCATTCCCCCCTTCTCATTGCACAGCTCCAGGCTCCACTGTCTTCAGTTACTGAAGTGACCTTTGACCCTCTCTCTCCTTTCTGGAAAGTCTTCCTTTGGCTTCCATAACATCACTTGAGGTTTGCTGTGTCTCTCCTTTGCCTGTCAGTCATATTTGAAATCTGCACAACCTCTCCTCCTCATGTTGTCAGTGTTGCCTGGACAACCACCTTTGCTCTCTTCTCCCTCTGGCATCTCCCCTCAGTTTCTACAGAGACTTTTTACGCTCACCTTTGTCTTCAGCTCGGACCTCTGTCCCTCTGATGCATGTGTCTGTCACATCTATTTCTGAAGGTTTGTTCTAGAAGAACCTCAAAATCAGTCTATCTCAAACCAAACTGTATTAGTGAATGGAATCCGTAGGGAGCCCCTCTGAATCCCTTCCTCCTCCTCCGCATCTCAGCTCAAGCATAATCCGCCTCCCGAATAGCTCTGCTGACTGCTAGTCCCTCTGCCATTACCTGCTCTGGCCTCCTCACCGCCTGCTTCCCAGCGCCGTGCCTGCCTTGTGCGGCCCTACTGTGGCGCCCTTTCAAGAGTCTGTCTTGTAGTTGTCCTCAAGTGTATGTCATCTGTTGTGAAAAGTGTCACAAGTAACTTCTTACTGATAATCAAAGTACTGGAGTTTGTGGATGATTTCCTTTTTAAATTTTATGTTTTAGATTCGTTTAGATACAGGCTTGGCCCTCCACAGTGTCACCCTCACTGGCATCCTTGTGCTTCAGAGGAAGAGAGAGGGGTGGCATTACTGTTGGTGCCATTGATAGCACAAGACCCCGGATCTACCCCAGAGTCTATCATGAGCAAAGGATCCTGAAGCAGTGGCCTAAGGTAAGCAACCCCTTACGAGACAGAACCTAAACTCCGATGTCAGAGACTCGATTCATCTCCAGGTCCGCCCGAGGCCCGGCCTCCACAGCACCGACACCACTTGCCTTGCTGTAGCGCCGTGAGCCCGTTTCCTTCCTGAGCCCCGAGCGCCAGCTGGGGTTATTCTCCTGCACTGGAATTTACAGTCTCCTATGTTCCTATCTTTAGGGTGCAGGGTTGGTCCTGGTAGATATTTAATGAATTGTTGTTGTATGGTGGAGTGGATTGAGAATATCTGCCGAATACAGACGTAGTGATGGGACAAGACTAAGTGGGGAACAGAACAGGCTGGGGCCCTGGTGTAGACTAGGAGGTCCTCAGGTGAAGGCTCTGGGGCGTGACCCGGGCTGCAGTCCTGACACATAGGTTTTGCCTTTGTCCCCCATCGTCAGGGCTGGTTGGACACTGGCCTGATTTCAGTACCCTGTTCTGTGTCCCCAGGAGCCATGAAGCCTACAGACTGCTTCTGGAGCTCTGGAGCCAGCCTGGTCTCCCGCTGTGCCTCTGACCATCACGGTTCTGTCTCTTCTGTCATAAACAGGAGCTGAGGTAAGTCGCCTGCAGTTCTGACATCCTAGAGTGCTTCTGGGACCAGGACAGTGTCTCACATTTCATTTACACCTTTATCCAGCCCCTGCACAGCGCCACCTCCCGTGCTTCAGATGTTTGACTTGGTGGTGGCTGACTGAGCTCTCTAGTGATGGGCTCCAGGTGACTGCCTCTCAGTCCTTCCAAGGCTCTTCCGGCTGGAAGGACCGCCTCAGCGTCACTGCGCCCCATCTCCTCCTTGGGCAGAGGCTCACTTCCGTTTCTGTTCTTCTCTCCGCGTATTTCTCTTGTGACTTCTTCATGTCTCTTTTCTTTTGAATTTGACCTAATCGCCAGGAAAATGAATCAGAGGAAAGGAGTTAAGGATTGTGCGTAGGTTTGGGGTCTGAGCGTCTGGGTGAACAGATGTTCCATTTACCGAGATTGAGTTGACTGTAGGAAGAGCGGGTGAGGGAAGCCTCAGAGAGGCTGGGCGGTGGTCAGTAGGTAAACGTAGTCCCCGTCGGGGAGAAGACAAAGCTGTCCTGGGAGAGTGTAGAATGAGAAGAGGGCCTAGGAAGAAACCCTGGGAGACGTCATTGAGGGACAGGCAGAGGGAGAGGGACCAGAATGGAGACTGAAAAGGAGTTGCCGGTGAGAGGAAAACCAAGGAAATGTGGGCTCCCAGGGCGACGGGAAAACAGCCTTGCAAACGGAGGGCATGGGCAGGTGCAGAAAAGGCCATTGGAAGTGGTGCCAGTGGGGTTGCTGGGCGCCTTGGCAAGGAACCAGGGTCAGGGAGCAGTGGGAGCTGGAGCCAGAGAGGAGTGGGTTTCGAGAGGAATGGGAGGTGGGAAAGTGTAAACAGCTGCCCTCCCAGAGTTTCTCTGACTGAGAGAGGAGAGAGAAGGGGCACCAGGGGCCTGAGTCTTGGGCACTAGGTTCCACCTCATCTTGCGCCTTCTGCGGGAGGCTGACTCCTAGAGAAGGAATTTCCAAGGGTCTAAGCAGAGCCTCCAGCTTAGGTGGCCTCAGGCTGCATTACTTCCTGAACACTAAGTGGCATTCGGTTTATGGTGCCCTGTTGGGGCCGGTGCAGCCCAGGGGCGCAGGGTGCCGAGACCGACAGGCTCTGCTCGCTCCTGGCCTGTGTCTCTTCCAGGGCACCTGTTTAACTTCTTGGCGAAGTCAGTCCCCTCCCCGCGGTCTCGCAGCCCACGCTGTGTTCCTTCATGCCCTGCGTTGTGGCTCTGGTCTTAAATGCTGTGAATGTGACTCTTTTATTCACATCTGTGTCTCCTGCCAGCCTGGAGGCCTCGTGCATGCAGGGCCTTGTCTACTTGATGTGGTAGCCACAACACAGGAGAATTGGCAAGTGCCTACTAGGTTCCCAGTAAACAGTGAAAGAAAAAAGAGAAACATCAGTTAGTTTGGCAAAGAAGAGGGACACAGAAATCACTGGTGTGGTTCAGAGGGCTGTGTGGTTCCAGTGAGGGCTGGTTCATTTGGTCTGGAGGAGTCAGGCTTCGCCAAGGAGGTTGAGATCTTGAGAGTTTTGTCCTGGGGCAGATTTCATATTATCTTGCTATACCCTCCCTTCTCTGCTCTCCTCTCTGCTCTGGGCCTCGCCATCTCCCTGAGTGGTCCCCAGAGTTGAGTAGGGCAGCTGAGAGCCATTCTTTTCATCTTGCTTTGCAGCCTGGGCCCATCTTCTCCTTTCTCCAAGTTCCTAAGCATGTTGGAAGTAGAAAAAATCAGAAAGACTCCCAAGAGACATTCACCCTCAGGCCCAGTGGGGCAGGAGCCCCCTGTGTGTGCTGACACCCTCACGACCAGACTCAGGGGCCCCATTGCCACTGTGGCTTCCCCCTGTCCTGAATTGAAAACCAGGGCTACCAACACCTTTCGTGGACTTGCCTGGGGTGCCAGGGTGGGCCTGCCAGAAGCTGAGGTCAAACTTGAGTTTGTAGACATAGAAGAGAAGACTGGCAGTGGCCACAGGAAGAAGGTCAGACCCTCCGGCTCCCAAAAAGGGAGTGAGAAGGATCTGTTCTTGCAGAGGAAGAGACCCTCCCCCCTGCCCAGGGGCTCATTGGTCCCTTCATCTGACCAAGTCTTCCTGGAGGAGCAGGAGGAAGGTGCCCTGGACCTGTGTGTCTGCAGTGAGAAGAAAAGCTCCTGTTCCCTGGGGAGGCTTGATCTTCAGCCAGCTGCCTCCCGTGCAACGTGCCAGCCCAGCCGTGGGCCGAATAAGCCAAAGGGAGACTCTAGACTCTGTGGCCTTAAGTCTGTGCTTCAGCAGAAGCCCCTTGTGCAGCCCGAGAAGAAGGTGTCCAAGAAGAAGGCACATGGACAGAGAGAGGAGAGGGAGCCAGCAGGAAGGAAGTGGAGGGACCCGGTGCTCAGCTCTGTCCAGGCCCCTTCCACCCCGGCGCTGGTCCAGGCGGCCAGTCTGCACAGGTCAGAGGTAGGCCAGACTAGTGCGAATGAGGAGGCAAGGCAAGCTGACATCCTCATAGCCCTTCTGGCCAGAGAGGTACGGCGCCTCAAGAAGTGGAAGAAGAGGCGTTTGCTGCCTGGTGTCGGAGAGAAGGCGCCCTTGCTGAGCCTCCAGAAGCCACTCTGCTTGAAGAAGCTGGTCAGAACTATCAAAGCAGAGACCAAGGGCTGGGCTTCTCCCAGGTATTCCCAAAGCCCTCTGGACAGCACGGGTCAGAAGCCGACGTTGGATGTTAGACGGTTCTTTACCGTTGACTGCAAGAACATCTGCCGTGTCACCTGCACTCTGTGTCACACCAGCATCAGACAGGGCAGAAATAAGGGGCAGTCCCAAACCTCAGGCCTGGTCCGTCACCTGGTGAGTAAGCACGGGTTGGAGAGGGAAAGAAGGCCGACTGCAGCCAGCCCTGGGGGGAAGCAGGCAGGGGTCGGGGAGAATCAGAAGGACCTGCCCACAGGTGTCACTGGCCTGGTTCCTGAGGGATTCCTGTCACCAGGATGCGATCCAGATGCCTCACCTTTGGGAGACAGTGACAATGATGGGTGGCTGGCCCCGGGCAGGCCTGAGCAGCTGTTACTGGATCCACCATCCCTGCCTACTCCCACCAAAGACAAACCTGCTGCTCCCCCCATGGCAGTCAGGGAGGACAGAGGTGGCATATATGCCCCCAACCAGCCCCGAGCACAGGCCTGGAACCACAGCATCACGGAGTTGCTTTGCAGCCTGGCAGTGCCACTCTCCTTTGTTTCGTCCCTCCCCTTTAGAAGGTTTATGGCCCAGGTCGACCCTTGCTACCATCTGCCACCTCGAGCCTTCTTCTCTGATAAAGCCTTGCCTCTGCTCCACGAGGCGATGGGCGAGCAGGTGTGTCAGGAGATGCAGTGGGCCCAGGGCAGCCGCCTCCACCTCACTGTGTCTGTGGCAGCCCAGGATTCGGTCATAGACTATGTGGCCATCACTGCCCACTGGGGGGTGATACAGCCGCACGCAGTGTCGGGGAGCCTGAGGAAGCGAGCCCTGCTCTGGGTCCGAGGCCTGCCCCTGGAGAGTGCTCCAGAGGACAGGCAGCAGGAGCTGCGGGAGCAGGTCAGCCTGTGGCTCAGCCGTGGCTCCCTGCAGCCAGGCTTCCTGGTCTCCAGTGGCTGTCTCAGCCTGGAGCAGGCAGTGAGGTTGGAGGGCTACACCCACGTTCCTTGCTTTGCCCACTGCCTTGACTCCCTGGTGAGGAACTTTCTGTTTCATCATCATAGCATCCAGATCATCCTGGGCACAGCCAGGGCCATCTACAGCCATTTCCAAGGCTCTGCAGAGGCCCGGCAGCTCCTCACCCAGCTGCAGCGGCAGTGTGGCCTCCCGGCTCACCAGCCCTTTGGGGAGCTCTCAGACCACTGGGTCTCCACCTACTGCTTGATGGAGTGGCTGGTGGAGCAGCAGCAGCCACTGCAAGAGTATGAGGAGAAACACCAACTGGGGAAGGCTGAGACGGCCCTGTCAGCTATGTTCTGGGGCCTGACGGACAGTCTGGTTAAGCTCCTGCAGCCCTTCCAGATGGTGTTCCGGGAAGCGAGCACGGCACAGGCGTGTTTAAGCCAGGTGCTGCCCCAACTGCGCTACCTGCATATCTTCCTGGAGCAGGTGCACCGGCACTTTGAGGAGCAGAGTGGCAGGGAGATGGGTGCAGCCATCCGGCTGGCTGAGGGCTTGGCCCTACAGCTCTCCACAGACTGCCAGCTCAATGAGCTCTTCCACCGCGAGGAGTTCGTGCTGGCGACCCTCCTGGACCCCCGCTTTAAGGGGAAGATTGAGGCCATCCTGCCCGTGGGTGCCGACATTGACCACTGGAAGCAAGTTCTCGTGTACAAAGTGAAGGAGATTATGGTGTCTGAATGCTCCTTGCCTCCCTCCCCATCCCTGCAGAGCCCCAAGGCTATGCCTGTGGACGCCACCTTGACTGGCAGAATAGCCCAGAGCCCTGGGGCTGAGGGGAAGGGCCAGAAGGAGCCTGTGCAGAGAGGCGGCAGCTCTGGGTCTTTGCTGCTGGGCCAAAGGGACAAGAGCTTGCTGGAGCAGCTGGAAAGTGTAGGGCTGCTATCGTCCAAGAGGAACGGAGCCTCGCTCGTCACCGAGAACCACCTGGCCAGCGTCATCGTCAAGAAGTATCTGCGTGAGAACGAGACAGTTGGCACCCAGGAGGACCCCCTGGTTTACTGGGAGAAGAGGCGGGAGGTCTGGCCAGCTCTGGCAAGACTGGCCACCATCTATCTGTCCTGCCCCGCCACAGGCACCTTCTCTGGAAGTATCTTTGCCTCCCTGAACAGCCCTGCCATCCTGGAGCACAGCTCCCCTCTCCCAGTAGAGACGGTTGAGCATCTCCTCTTCTTGAAGAGCAACCTGGAGAATTTCCCCAACTACACTCCCCCACCCCTTATCTTCCCCAGTGGAGACTTGGCCAAGGAGGAGCAGGCCAGTGCGTCTGATGTCATGGTCTAATGCCCTCAGTCTGCCTGTGGGACTCGGCAGTAGATAAAAGGAGAGAGCAGAGGGTTGCATCCTAGGCTATTAGACGGGGGCGGGCAGAATCTTAAACCTATTTGGAAAGAATGGGGTTAGTTTCTCAGTTCTTGACAGGTTGCCGTTTCTTTTTCAGGGAGATGTCATTTTCCATCCACCTTTTGCTCAATTTATCTCTAGTGGTATGTGCATAGAAAAGGTTTACTCGGTTCCTAAGTGACTGTGAGTGTACTGTGTAGTTCTATAAATGGTAATGCTCTCAGGGCCTGCCCCTGGGCTGAGTGGTTAAAGTTCGACACACTCCACTTTGTGGCCCGGCGTTCGTGGGTTCGGATCCTGGGTATGGGCCTGCTCCACTTATCAGCCATGCTGTGGAGGCCTCCCACATACAAAATAGAGATTTTGTACAGATGTTAGCTTGGGGCTGATCTTCCTCAAGCAAAAAAACCCCAAGAGGATTAGCAACAGATGTTAACTCAAGGCGAATCTTCCTCTCTCACACACACAAAAAATGGTAATGCTCCTTTGAAATATTGGTGGGCATTAAGGGCCCTGCCTGCAACTTGTCCATGTGTGTCAAGGGGTCCCTGCCCTGAGGAGGTCTGCTTCTCAAACAGTGGCCGGGACAAGGCAGGGTGAGGGTGCTGGCAGGCAGGGTCTGTGCTCGGCCTCCTAGAGCCTGGGTGAGCCGTGGAAGCTCTTTCAGGACTTGCTTGCACTGTAGAAAGGAAGAAACCCTAAGGGAGAGTAGCCGCTGTGCGAGGGAAGTGTGTGTGCACTCGTGCACATGCGCACACACCAGTCTTCTGAGGGTCTGGACTTCCCCGTGGATCCCAGAGTGGCCGGAGGACCCTGACTGATGGACTGCCCAGCCAGCGAGGGAGACGGGGTCGATGCGAGCTGGGACACAGTCCTCAGATGTCGTTCTTACCAATAGTTCGTTTCCAGACTACTGGAATCCTTGGAGTTCCTTCCTTTCTATGGTGAAAGCAGGCTCAGAGCGTCCCTGGCTTCCCCCGGCTCCAGGGGGCCAAGTATTTATCCCACCTACAGTGCCCACACCTCCCCTGTCCATGGCCACTTTTAAAGGGCAAGTCGCCTACCTGGAAGGGAGACAGGATGTGTATCAGACCCACTAGTAATCCAGAGGTCCTTCAGGGCAGAGTGCAGGACCTGAGGGCGCGGGATCAGGGACTATGGGTCGGGTGGGAGAAGGGGAAGGAGAAGGGGAGTGTTTGGGGCGGGCCCGCCACACTCCTCAGACATGAGTCTCTCCCGAGGTGCCAGGACACTAGGGGAGGTGACTGACAGGCAGGCAGGTAGAGGCAGGGCAAGGCACGCAAGCCTAACTTGGACTTGGGCCTTGGCCATAGGTGTGAGCCTAGAGGCCTGTCCCCTTGCCTCCCCTTGAGGGGTTGTCAGTCCTGTGGCACTATGACCAGTTCACTACGGGACATTTGGAAGTTACTGAGAATGTAAGGACACAGGAAAAATTAGCCATAATCCTTCCACTTAGCCTCTGTTAATAGTTTGACGTATTTTTTCTACCTCGAGATCACTCTCTCTCTGCTGTTCAGTGTGCTGTGTTTTCATTTTAACAGTGTAATAATAACTGCATGTTCTTAAATAAAGCTTTGTAGAGATCCTTTGTAATGGTTGCAGTAGCATGATTTGAGTGAGAGTCTGGCCCCCGAATTGCTCGGATGCTGTCTTTCCGCCGCTGTGGGGAAGGGATGTGTTCATGGGAGGTGAGGCTTGTCTGGGGGAGCGGCGGTACTGCGAGCTCTCTACGTCCAAACTCTCAGCAAGTGCATTTGGGTGGTAAGGTCAGGACAGCCCTGGACCTCTTCCTGCCTCCTGTCCTTAAATGGTACATGGGGCTCAAACTGTAATGAGGATCACCTGAGAGCATCTTAAGAAACACGGTGTCCTGTACCTCCCTCCTAAGTTCTGATTCACCAGGTTGGGTGGGGGGCACCCTAGGGGCGGCCTGCTGGTCTATGCTGCCATCCCTTGAGCTGTTAGAAGAGGCACTGTCCCCTTGCTGTCAGGGTCACTGAACTGGCTCTCCAGTGGTCATGGAGACGGGAAGCCCTGGAATGGAGAGGCAGCAGGGTGGGGAGCATGTGAGGAAGATGGAGAGGAGTGAAAGGAAGAGGTTGAGCTAGACGCTTGATGGTCACAAGCAGTGGTTTCCAACCAGGGGCACTTTTGTCCCCCAGGGGACATTTGGCAATGTCTGGAGGCACTTTTGGTTGTCACAGCTTGTAGGGGATCGCTACTATCCTCTTGTGGGTAGAAAACAGGGATGTTGCTAAAAATCCTACAATGTGCAGGACAGTCCCCATGACAAAGACTGTCCGATCTCCACTGGCAGTGGTGGCTGTGTTGAAGAAGCCTGTTCTAGATTGGGGATGGGAGAGAATGGGGCAGAGGAAGGGTCCCTAGTTCTCTAAAGCAGCCAGGTGACAGTCCACCATAGGCTGCTCTGGGTTGAACCATTTATTTCTAGACTTAGCCCTGCCTGCCCTGGCTGACTCATGGACTTCATTTTCTGGCTCATTTCCTGCATAGGTACACTGAGACTCGGAAAGCCTAGCTGAACAAGGAAAGATGGGCCTCCTTAGGAGATCTGAGTGTCAGCTACGTCTTAGTCATGGTCTCATCCACATAACCAAGTCCTTTTCACAGACTCACGTGTTGGGCCAAGGCCTCTGTTCGCCCATTTCCGTAGCAGGACCAGGCTGACTCCTGTTTTTCAGAGAGGAGTGTTAAAGTGGTTGGATGTAGATGAGCCATCCTCCCATTGTGCAGGGCCTGCTGTCTGCTGCCTGCCTGTGCATTAGTTGGGTTTGCAGAGGTGGGTGGGCACCACTTGGTCCTTGGTTTTGCCCAGACCTGCCTGTTGAGGTTTGTAGATTTGAGGTAAGACGGGAGGGAGCAGAGCAGAGGTCCCTGACGCACAGGAGAATCAGTGTTTCCTGCAGTCCTGCATCTCCCAGCTGGAGGCTGGAGCCCAAGTGCTGCAGGCATGGAAGGCCTGACTTCAGGTTAATGTGATCTTTCTGCTCCACTTTCCTCTTGTGCAAAAAGCGTTCCTCCCATCTCTGACGTGGGGAAAGCACACAGTTGTCCCATCTCCCTGTCTGCCCGCTCCCCTCCTTCTTTCCCTCCCTTCGCAGCCACCATCTCCATCTAAACGGTCACTGACCTACTTCCTCACGGTGTCACTCCTGAACCCTCCTGGTCCGGCTCTGGCCTCACGGTGGCCTGAGACTACCCTACCCGGTGGCTGTGTCTCGTCTGAATGCAGGGGGGGTATTTAACCATGTTGTTCAAGGAGAGACTCCTTGAAAGCCCCACATTTTCTTCCTCCCTCTGACTGCTCATCAGTGCTCTTCATTCAGCCTCATAAATGGTGGTGGTGTCCCTATTTCAGCCCTTGACTTCTCCTTGCCACTGTACACCAGAGGTTCCTGACCACTTTCACCCCCAAAATAGTGTGTGACTGGGGAGGATGTGCATATTCCTGAAGAGAGGCCTACAGATGCTTATAGAGGTTTGTGTCCCCAAAAATGCTGGCCCGGGGTGCTGCACGCTCTCGCTGGGCACCTCCCTGCAGCTAATGCCCAGATCCCTTCAGCCTAGAGCTTCACCGCCCCCTAAGTCCAATGCCACACAGTCACCTCACACTGGACAGATTCTTGCCCCTAAGCCTGTCCTGTCTACGTCCCACATGTTTGAGAAGGGAGCCCCTGCATCCAGTCACATGGCCAGATCCTTGAAGTTGGTCCAGACTCTCCTCCCTACTTTCTGTGACTCAGTGCCCTCAGTGTGATCCTTGTCTCTCGAAGGCTTTTATGGCAGGTTTCCAGTGCCCAGTGCCCCTCGTGCACCCCCACTCTGTGGGCCTGAGAGCTTAACCAGATGCAGAGGTGATTGCGTCACTTGCTGCTCACAAACTCCAGCAGATCCCATTTGAATAGAGTAAATCAGACTTCTTAGTAGATGCCTCTGCACTTTTGGAAAGAAATGAGGTAGAAATGAGGAACGAGCTGGAGGGCTGCAGCTAGAGGAGAGCTAAGTAAAGATATGGGGTCCCCCTGTTCAGAGGTGGTGTGGAGGAGGATGGAGAGGGGGTCAGATCTGTTAGCAGCTTCCCTGAGTCTGGTGGGGGGTGTGGGAGGATCCTGGCTTGGTTTCCCTGGAGAGCGGGAAATCAAAAGTGGTGTTGATTATGTAAACACACACTTGGGACTCTGGAGGCCCAGGGCTGTAAACAGCAGGAGTGAATGGGCTCTTGGTTCCTTGCAGGCGTCACCCCGCCTGGCCTGGGCCTGGCCAGTGTCTACAGGCTTGGGAAGCTGCCACTTGGAGCAAAGGTCCCTTCTTGTTTTCCTCTCTGCCGAAACCTTGAACCCTCTGTGGGCAGCTGCGCCTGCGTCCCCTCCTCCAGGCCTCCTCCCTCGTGCTCCACAGTCCTGCCCTAGCGCCTGGGTCTGTGCTGTCCCACAGCCACTGGTGACTGGAAAGGCCCCTCCCTCCCCTGCCATTCTGGAGCCAACATAGGTGCCACCCTGCCCCTCCCTCCAGGACAGCTGCCTTGACTGCCTGGCATCCCGCTGGCCCTCTTTGGAAATGTCCTGTTTGCAAGGAGGACTGTGCTGCCTGGCAGTGACTGATGCTGTTCTGCTGGTACTAGAGTGAAGAGCTAGTTTTGGTGGGTGGGGGCGGGGGGCAGGAGCAGTGGTCTGGGGACTGGCAGTGTGGCCACTTCCCCTTGGCCTTCACTGTCCCCTCTCTCCCTCAACCTCAGTTTCCTTGTCTAAGACTGAAGGCTGAGCCTTCAGGCCTACAGCGGCAAGCAGAGGTCACAAGTTGGCCCTTGGAATTTGGAAACCATTTTGAATTAATTGCTGCCATTACAGATTGAGTCAAGGACACTTGGAGTGACTGAAGCAAGGGGCCAGGCTCTCCTTTATGTTTGCATGTGCATGGCTCTCCAAGGAAGGAAACAAAAGAGAGTGGTGATGGGGGTGACCTATTATCCATTCAAAAATAAACTGAAGTATTTAAAAAGAAATACCTCAAAATTAGTAAGGATAGATCCTGAGCGGTTACCCAGAAAGGAAAATAATGAGATTTTGTCCCCCAGTGCAGATTTGGAAAATGGGAAGAATTGGTGACACTGGGCCTGAATTCCATCCAGCACGGGCCTAACCGCCAGAGCCAAGTCGGGGACTCCCTGTGGGTGAGGGCCTGTGCCTGGCGACCTCACTCAGACAGGCTCTTTGCCCTCTGGCGCCTTGGACCTGGGTCCTCAGGTCTTGCCACACCGTCTGGGTTTCTGGCCCTGAAAGTAGAGGCTGGGTGGTACTCGGTGCTGTCACCTGCTACAGGGGCTCAGGAGAGAGAGGCCTGCTTACTGTTTAATTGTCTCTCTTTAGGGACCTACTGGCCCTTGAGTGGGGGTGTCGGAAACAGGCCTCAGGCACTGGCCCAAGCAGAGTCGATGGTGCCTTCTTTGGGGTGAGCAGTGGTACCCGCATCCCTGTGACGCAAGTGCCAGGGCCCAGGCCGCCTCGACCGACTTCATCTCATGGAGTCTCAGGGAGAGAAGCCAGGAGAGGCTGACAGGGTGCGTGTCACGCCCCAGCTGCTCAAGGCCCGCTCAGGTGAGTTTGCGCTGGAGTCCATCCTGCTGCTGAAGCTGCGAGGCCTGGGGCTGGCGGATCTGGGCTGCCTGGGAGAGTGCCTGGGCCTCGAGTGGCTGGACCTGTCAGGCAATGAGCTCACCCAGCTGGGCCCACTGGCCTCCTTGCGCCAGCTCACCGTGCTCAATGTCGCCAACAATCGGCTGACAGGGCTGGAGCCGCTGGCCGCCTGTGAGAACCTGCAGAGTCTCAATGCCGCAGGCAACCTCCTGGCCAGCCCTGGCCAGCTGCAGTGTCTGGCCGGACTGCGGGGCCTCGAGTACCTGCGGCTCCGCGACCCTTTGGCCCGGCTCAGCAACCCGCTCTGCGCCAGCCCCTCCTACTGGGCTGTGGTCCGAGAGCTGCTGCCGGGCCTGAAGGTCATCGACGGGGAGCGTGTGACTGGGCGTGGCAGTGAGTTCTACCAGCTGTGCCGGGACCTGGATAGCTCCTTGCACCCCAGCTCCAGTCCAGGCCCCAGAGCCACGGAGGCCCAGCCCTGGGTCGAGCCAGGGTACTGGGAGTCCTGGCCTACCCGGAGCAGCTCCATCCTGGAGGAAGCCTGCCGGCAGTTCCAGGACACACTGCAGGAGTGCCACGACCTGGACCGCCAGGCCAACGACAGCCTGGCTCAGGCCCAGCAGGCGCTCAGCCCTGCAGTCACCACCTCATCCTTCGTCTTTTGAATGTGCCCTATGGCCATGGCCAGGGGCAGCCTGGCATGTGGCTGTGGGGTCAGCATATTGTGGCCTAGCTGCCCACATGTCCCCTCCTACCTGTGCACTAGTCTTCACAGTTTCATCATGCTGGTCACTGGCCCTGCAAACTGGGCTTTTCCTGAATCCTTGTTCTTAAGAGCAACCCCCTTCCTTCCACTCCTACCTCAAGGAACATCCACACCCACCCCCTACGTACTTCAGGGACGCACCTCCTGAGTGGCCTGTAGCGGGTATAAGGCTCCTCCATGAGCAGCTGGCGTAGTGTGAGGCTGTCCTGTCACCTACACTGGGCACCTGGGAGGAGGCCCGGTGCTGAGCCCGTGTGCTGGCTGCTTGCCCCTGAGATTTAGTGGAAGAATGTTGCTTCTGCCTAAGGCTAAAGGTGAGAAAGGCAGGGATGGCGTGCCTCCTGTCCCAGCTGGTCCTGGGAGAGGACATGGGCAGAGCCTGGAAGCCGGCTTTTACCCATCTTCAAACTTTGCCTGTCCAAATGACCCTCTGCTGTGGTCCCCTACTCCTGTGCCTCCCTGGAGCCTTCGCAGCCCATTCTCAGCACGCTAAGCTAATTCCTATTAAATACTTCTGTTTCACTTCGCCTCACTGCCTGTCATTTCACATGGGTGTGCTTGGCTTTGCCAGGCATGAGCTCCGAAAGCAAGATGGGGTCCCTGTCACCTCTGGTCTCTCCTGCAGGAAGGAGGAGGTGCACACAAGAGGTCCCCTGCCCACTGCTTTCTGGGCGCAGACAGGTAGCATCCTGCACCCCCTTGGGCGTTACTTCCTCACTGTAAGACTGGGGCATCCCAGCCTTTCTTCCAGGACGGGAGAAGCTGACGGGAGGGGATGCAAGGGGAGGAGAGAACACAGCTGGGGGAGCAGTTTTATTAGCTCTGGATAATGGGATTGTCCTCCTTGGGCACAGGGAAAGGAGGGCAGTCTTTCACTGGTTACCTCCCACAGCTGTCTGGGAAGCCGGATGAAATTCTAGGGGAAAGGAAAAAAAAACAAAATCTGGATGTGAGGGAGGCTGTTTTGGTCCCAGCTGGGCTCTCTTCCCAGGCTCCGAATCCCTCCCCTCCCTGCCTCCCGCAGCCTGGCATCAGCCCACCCTTCCATCCCATACCCCACCCCAGGGCTGTCCTGCTCCCCTCTGTCCTCCCTCCCTCGTGGCCTCCTACCAGTCAGGCCTCAGCTGGGGGGCAGGGCCTTGGAGAAGGCAAATTGTCCCGGGAAGTAGTAGCTGTGGGGGTCCTCGCCAGCCTGCTCCACCTTGCTGCACTGGGCCTCCTGGCGCTGCTCAAGCTCCTGCCAGCACCAGCAGCTGCTCAGGCCTGAGGCAAGCAGCACTTGGGGGGGGGCCCCCAGGAGGGTGCCCTGGGGGGAGTGCTGGGGTCCTCCGCCCGTGCCCGCCCACCTCCACATCACTTAGGGAATAGCTGGACCAGGCCCAGAGCCCCTCCTCACCTCCTCTTCACCCTCCTCTCCCCTCCTCACCCCCTCCACTCCTCACCCTCCTCTCCCCTCCTCACCCTCTCTTCACCTTCTTCCCCCTCCTCTCCCCTCCTCCCCTCCTCACTCCTCCATCCAGGCTTCTGCCTCTGACCTCTCCCACAGGCCCAGCTTCTATCCATCTTACCAGCCCCCTCCCTAACCTCTCCTCTTCCTCCTCTGCCCACTCTTACCAGCTGAGCCTGTGTCTCTATGGGGCAGTGGACCATCCGGCCCAGGACTTTATTCTCAGAGTCCAGCTTGATGCAGGCCAGGCATTTCCGCTTCCTCTGGGGAGGGAGGCATAGGGTCAGGAGAGGGGAGGGTGGAAGCTGGAGGCCGCCTGCGGTGGGGATCGTGGCCCCTGGCAGGCTCTAGAGCGGAGGGGCAGGCAGATGCAGGCAAGCTGGTGTCAGGTTCAGCCCACCCTCGGACTGGGAAATTTTAGAAGTGAACCATCCTGCAATTTCCAAACTGTGCAACTTTGTGCGTGTGTGAGTGTGTGTCTGTGTAGGCAGGACTCCTCCCCCAGATGGGTCCACCCTGCCTTACTTCCACCAGAGCCACTCTGCTAGATGCTAAATCACCTATTATATTGATTTGCATTTTCTTGTAAGATTTGATTTGACCCCAAGGGTCCTGTCATAAAGTCTGGAAAACCACAGTGTAATCCAGGCCCTCCTTTACCAGATGGAGGGAACTGGGGCCTCCAAAGAACCTACATAGCCACAGGGCTGGTGCTGGGCAGAGCCGGGACTGGAGTCCAGATCCGATGGTTGCACTCCCAGCCTCGGGGTCTCCCTCATGGCAGCGATTTTGTCCCCAAGGTGGCTCATTATAGTCCACCTCTGTTATCAGTCAGCCCAGGCTGGGCCGTCTCCACTTGAAGACTCTCAGAAAATGGGGAATTCACCAGGCTTGGGGTGAGGGCCAAACTAACCTCACACCATGGGCTTCTCCCACCAGTGACCTGAAGCCTGAGAGAGGAACTCAGATGGAAGGTGGACCCACTCTGAAGAACAAACGTCCTCGGAGGGCTAGCCCAACCCTGCCCCCTCCGGCCTGTCCAGGCCCCCAGCCCACCACCAACCATCACAGCCCTCACAACCACAGGCTCTGACTGAGCCAGCTCAACTTCTGGGGTGGCTGCTCCACAGTGGGGTCTCTGACCTCAGGGCTTCTCACTGGGTCTCCTACTAAACCCCAGTTGTATACACTCACATGGGCACGTGCCCATCACACACAGGGGCCTTCACTCACCCCATGGGGCTTGACTCGGCACTCAGCTTTCTTCCAGTCCTTCTTCTGGCAGCTCGTCTGCTGGAGTTTAAATTCCAGCCTCACAAAGGTCCCCGCCAGGAAGGGCTGCCGACAGACAGACAGACAGAGGAAGGCCAGCAGCCAGCTGAGCGGACAGGGCAGTTCCTGGATGTGATCTGCCCCTCGTCCCCACAGTGAAACAGCACATCTGAGGAGGTGGCTGGGGTGGTGGTCTTTCTCCGGAGAGCTTGGTGCTCCCAGAGTCCAAGCACTGTTGCACTGGCTTCCTGGGACTGTGCTGGTGTCCTGGGGTGTGGCCCTACCCCCTCCCCTCCCTGGGCCGTGCTGCTAACCGTGTCCGTGGCACTGTCCACACTGGTCTCCCGGAAGGCCCACTGCACACGCGGGTGCTTGTGGAACTCCTCCAGGGCCACCTGCAGGCTCCGGTGCTGGGCCGCCGTGAGCTCCGCCCTGCCCAGGCGTGCCGTGCCCAGCCACAGGGCCAGTGGGATCAGCAGCCGCCACATGGCTTCACCTCAGTCACCCTGCAAAGGGTGTGTGCGATCCTCAGGTCTTTGTGCCTGCCAGCGGAGGCCCCCACTCCCTGGCCCTGAGGCTGAGGGGGGTGCACACTGGGCTGAGCCCTGGGGGGAGGCGGAGGGGCGGGCTTTGGCCCTTTGCTGAGATTCCCTGGAATCTCCCTGGTCCTTCCGCTCTGCCCCACCCTGCCCCCCACCGCTCTCTGGGGAGGTGCTGAGTCCTTCCGTCCTCAACAGCCTGGGAAGCGGTCCTGTGGCCACTGCAGCCTTTCCCCCCTTTTCTGGCCCACTCTCTCTCCCCTTGTGACTCTGACCCCCTCTCCTGCCCGCTGCCCCCAGAGCCTCTGCTTCCCCCCACCTACGCCTCTCCCGGTGGCTTCCCCCTCCCCACTCTGTCAGTGGTTCCTGGGGTCCCAGCCCCTGGCCCTCACCCCCCTGCCCCCCAGGCTAACTTGGGGAGAGGGAGGAGTGGGGCAGAGGAGGGACAGGAGGCTGAATTTTTTGGGGAGGACGTAAACACGTGGGAGGGGCCCACAGACGGGTCAGAATGAACCGCTGGGGAACAAGGCGGGTGGGGGTTGCTTAACCCTCCCTGCCTAGGGCTGCCCGTCCAAATCGGGGTCTCCCCTAGACCCCATACCTTGCTTTCTTTTTCAGGCAGACTCTCCCTCCCTTGACTTTTTTTCTGGGGCCTTCCCTACCACCCCTCCCAGCCCTTCTGATCGGATCCCCTAATCCATAATTGGGTTGCCTGAGGGGTGGACCCTCCCCAGGACTCTGTCTTTACCGGTAGTCTTAGGACCAGAAAGCCACAGATGTGGAAACTGAGGCCCCCTCAGTGAAGACACCAGGGTGTTGCCTTAGCAAGGTCTCCCGGACAAGGTGACCAATTTCGCCCTTTGCCCGACGCCCCCCCTCCTGTCCTCACCTCCTTTCCGGAGCCTTGGGGTCTCTCCGACACTCCCCGCGGCTGACTCTGGGCCAGGCGCTCAGCCTCTTCCCGGTCCCCCGCCCGCGCACCGCCCCTCCCTCGCGCGGTCGGCCTCCATCTCCTCCCACTCCCACCTCCTGGGCCCCTCCAGCTCCCGGCACGGCTAAGGCTCCTCCCCACCCGGTCAGGACCGGCCTCCGGGCGGCTGCCCTCCAGCGCCTTCCCTCCCCATCCCACCCGCCTGCCTGCCCCCCTCGGTCCAGCCGCCTGACCCTGACCCTGACCCTGGCGGGGCCGCCCTTCCCTCCTCCCGCTGGCCGAGGAGCCCAAGCTTTCGGCGAACGGCGACCGCGGGCCTCATCTCCTCGGGACATGGGATTGCCCTCTCCACCACTCTGTCTCCAGGTAGGGCTGCCTTATTCTTAGGCCCTTCCACGGTCACCAGTCCCCGGCGTCCCCAGGACAGTCGTTTCAGGAAATTCTTCCCAGAAATACAGATATCCTCAAATCAGATGAGATCTTGAGGAGTCCGCCTCCCAAACCCCAAAGCTGCACTGAGAAGGAAGGCGTCTCCTTTAGAGAGGATGTCTTGTCCGACACCTTCTGTCACCAGCAAACATGGCCATTTCTCTGGTTCCAGGCCCTATGCTAATGACCCAAAGTAGAGGATCTCATTTAACTTCCCAAAGCCCTGGCACTTCTGCTTCCTCTCTGCAAGGTGGGGACCAGAAACCCTGCCATAAGGGGTTGTTGTGAGGATTGAAGGAGGAGATTGATGGAAAGTGACTGATGGCCCAAGGTTTTCTTCCCTTCCCTGCTCACCTCTGCCAGCATTCTCCACTGGAGCTGAGAACTTTGCAATGTGCTTTAGGGGCACGGGAGAGATCCGTGGCTTCAGTTAGCTAGTTCTGGTGCCTGGAATCCCATCGTCAGCATTTCATTCCCACCTGTGAGCTGTCGACTACCGTTAAGCAGAGAGGAGAGACAGGATCGTGGTTCTCTAGGAGCTCTAGGTGGGGTTACATGCAGACACAGAAGACAGTTCCCAGCCCAGGGCCCCATCCTGGGGGAATGTCCTGGGCATGGGTGACCAGAGAAAACTCCCGGGACAAGGTAGGACTTGAGCCGAGGAAAGCAGGCAGGTCCTCCTGCCTTCTGTGGTGGCGGGCCGGGGCTGCATCAGGCCTGCCTGAGGGAGGGGGGCTGGAGCAGGATGCTGGCAGTTGGCAAGGAAGGAGACCCTGGGGCTATATGCAAATACGTCATAGGTCACATGCCAGACAGAATCCCCTTTGGGGGAAGGAAAGGTGAGGTGGGCACTTAGAGAGGTGGGTGGCCCTCTGGCAGGCAGTCACAGGTGGGGGTATGTCCCGGCCACTTAGTGCACAATTGCGAGCTTAGCTCCAGGGGACATGTTCCAGCCCAGGGGAGCAGCACCAGGGCTGAGCCATTTGATGATGGTCAGTGATCCTCCTGGGCATCACCTCCATTGGGAGGTGGAGATTCACATATCTGAGGGGTTCCAAACTGATTTCAAAGTTCCAGTAACTGAGCCGAGTACCAAGATGTTTTCCTTTAATATTCACAACCACAGGGACAAAAACTCGTTTATGGTTTTTAGAAGAACTGATGTGACCTTGAAGAAAAAGCATATCAGTTTCAAACCACGCCTGTTCAAGTTAAGTCAATTCACTAGCTCTTGTGTTAACTCAGTATAATTAACACAAATTCAAAACCAAATTTATCAATATCAACAAAGTAGTCTTCAAATTTTTCTTGTAATTTTTATAGCCAATTTACATAAGGCTATTACAATGAAAATCCTTTACATATTGATTTGTATGAGAAAAGTGTGTAAAATTCTAACTATTGCTCATTATTATTAAAAGATTTAATTTGAGATTCTTATATTTGTCTGGCTGGGTCACAGATGAACTTTTCCTTTCCTTAGAGCTTCAAATTTACCTTGATAAATGTGATATTGGTGAGAAAACTTAACACTGACTTTTTTAAATCTTTCATTATTGAATATTTGGTTAGCATTTTTCTGTTTCAAGAAAATCATGGCGTTAACAGTACGGTAAATCTTGGTAAAACCCTTCCATGACTCGACCAACGTGCACTGGCAAAGAAAAGATTATTAAATTCATTGTCTTCTGCTACTTTCAACAGTCCCATAACCTGGTAATGTTTCATAGCACTTGCACTTAAACACTGAACAATTTTAACAACTGTGTGCATGACACTTGCATAGAGTCTGTTCAGAAAAGTGAGCACAGATATTTTCAGTGTGCATCAGACAGTGGGATGAAGCAACACAGGAAACATTAGTCTCTTGTTTTAAATCTCCAGTCCCTCAATCACACTAACCACATGTCAGATGCTCATTATGAATCATGGGTACCATATCTGTTCATAAATGCATGGAATATTTCCAGAAGGAAAAACAAGAAACTTGTAACAGTGGTTGCCTCTGAGGAGAGGAACTGCCTTGCTGGGGCAACAGGAGAGAGGAAAACAGTGTACCTTTGGTGCTTTCAAAATTTCATACCTTGTGGATAATTTGTCTATTAAAATATAAAAATTGGGGGGGGCCAGCCTGGTGGTGCAGCAATTAAGTTCGCACATTACACTTCGGTGGCCCGGGGTTTGCTGGTTCAGATCCGGGTGCGGACATGGCACCGCTTGGCATGCCATGCTGTGGCAGGTGTCCTACGTATAAAGTAGAGGAAGATGGGCACGGATGTTAGCTCAGGGCTAATTTTCCTCAGCAAAAAGAGGAGGATTGACAGCAGTTAGCTCAAGGCTAATCTTCCTCAAAAAAAAAAAAAAGTATTATATATATATAAATAATTTTAAAAACTCTTAAAGTCACAAGACAAATAGCATTTTTGAAAGCTCACTCTGGCAGTTGTGTGGTGAGTGAGTGAGAGGAGACAGGTCTGGGTGCAGGACGACCTGGGGAGGAGACAATTGCCGTTGTCCGGGTGAAAGATGAATGTGGCTGGGACAAAATGGGGGCAGGGAAGATGGAGAAAAGTAGAAGCTAACAGAAATATCGAGGAGATACAAGCAGCAGGGTGTGGGGATAGGTGGAACGTGGGCATGATGGAGACGGGTAGCAGGAGTGAATTCCAGGTTTCTGACTTGCACAACCTTGGGGATGGTGGTGGCCCTCAGGGAGAGGGGGACACGGGAGGGGGAGGCCCTGAGGAGAGGCATGTGAGTGTTTGTGGGACGTGTGAGTGGAGATGTTGAGTGAGCAGGGCTCATGGAGAGCCCTGGCTGCAGATGGGAAATTCTGCATCCTCTGCGTGGAGGTGGAAGTCAGAGCAGAGAGATTCGGACGGGAGCAGGGACTAGCCTGCCCAGGTGGTAGGAGATCAGGTGTCACAGGAGCCTGAAAAGGAGGTTCTGAGGAGGAGGCTCAGCCGGCACTGAGTGCTCAGAGGCCCAGTAAGCTGACCACTGAAACCACAGGACTGAATGCATCCAGGGACCTTAGCCCGAGCTGTCTCAGTGGGGGGTGGGTGCAGAAGCAACACTGAAGGTGTGGAGAAGACCAGAGAGGGAGGCAACCGAGCTGAAAGCGTGGTCAACACTTCCGAGACATTTGGCTGTGAGGGGAAGGAGAAAGAAGGCAACAGCTGGCGGGGCTGGGGAGAGCCTGGGTCAAGAGAGGGTGTGATTTGTTTTATTTTAATTAGATAAAAGAGGAGTAATCAATAGCGCAAGGTTTCTGAGATGGGAGGGAATGGAATCAGACAGGAACTGGGGAGATTGGAGGGGACAGCAGCAAAAGGTGGGGCTAGATGCGGGTAGGCATGTGCCACCCAGCCCCAGAGGACCCCTTGCCAGGCCCAGGCCCAGAGCCCTCCCAGGCAGGACATCTGCAGTGGGGCGGGGACTCTGCCTTCCACAGGATGCTCCTTCCTGTGTGTCCTTCCTCCCTCCCTCCCTCCCTTCCTTCCTTTCTTTTTGCATCGGGGAAGTGTCTTTCCTTTGGTTCATTTATTGAAAACAAATTTCAGAATATAAAGAGGGATGCACAAGGAATTCTGTCTCATGGATTGCCCTAGAATTGACTGCATGCCTTAGTTTCCATGTTTCTGAGATGGAAACTTAGCTCTTTGTGACTAAGAACATGCCCAGGGTCTGTTTGCAGGAATGGCAGGGTGGTCCTGAAAAGAGTTTGAAAAGTAATATCTTCTGATGCTAAATCCTGATGTTCAGCTTTTAATCACAACATGTGATTCTTATATCTTTCATTAACTTGATTGTTGAAAAAGACATTAATAATAAAACTAGAAATTACAAAAAATCATACCACTTGGCAATAAAAATAACCAAAATACCTCTTTTAATAATTCTTGGGTCAAAGAGGAAGAAAAATGAATTGCAGAATTCCTAAAAATAATAATGAAAACACTATATATCAGAATCAATGAGCCATATCTCAAGAAGTACGAATTACTTCTTTTTTACTTAAAAAGATGAAAATAAATGAATTATGTGTTAACTCAAGAAACTAAGAAAAGAACTAACTAAACTCATGGAAAGGAAAAGGAAGAAACAAATAAAAATAAAACATGAGTTAGAAAAGAAATTTGAAGAAATCCATTAATATAAGATACCATATTAATCCCTCAAAGGAGAAAAAAACCTCCTCATGTAATCATTGCTAAAGATCCTGAAAGAACATTCAAGAAAATTCAATATCCTCTTCTAATTAAAAAATAAACCTTTTGATAACATAGGAAATTATAAACACCTTCTTAACATAATTATATATATATATACACACCAACATACCTAACATAATTATATATATACCAACATACCTAACATAATTATATATATATATCAACATACTTAACATATGCTTAACATATATATATTATTATATATTAAGTATACCAACATATACATATATATATATATATATATATATATATACACACACACATACACCAACATACTTAAGGGTGAAGAATAAAAAACATTCCCATCAAATTCAGGATCAAGAAAAGGACGTCTTCTATTACTATTATTGTACATTTTTCTAGAAATACCAGCCAATGTAATTAGGCAAGCATGAAAAAGCGATGATAAAAGGTTTTGGAAGGTAAAGTGAAAAATATCACTATTTGCAAATGATAGGATTGTACACCTGTCAAATCCAAGAGAATTAATAGGAATAGATCATTGGAAACAATAAGAAAATTTAGTAAGTGACAGAATATGGAATTAATATACAAAATCAATAGGCTTCCTATACACAAAAGAATTAGAAAATATAATTTTTAAAAATCCCATTAACAGTAACAAAAAAGGTTAAATTTCTAGGAATGAACTTAATAAAAAACACAAAGAGTATTGAAAATTTTTAAATGATACCGAAGGATATAAAAGAAACCTGAAATAAATAGATAGGAAGAATCAATATTATAAAGATGTAAATTAATATTGAAACTTAACAAGAAAAGACAAATTGATTCCAACATTAATATGGAAAAATAAAAAAGCAAGAATAGCCAGAAATATTATGAAAATAAGAGTAATGTTGGCCTATTAGATGCCCAGATGTCCTGTTAGATATTAAAACATATTAAAAATCTAAAATAATTAAAACTGTGGTATTAACAAATGAATAGACAAATAAATCAATGGAACAGAATAGGAACATCAGAAATAGATGCAAATATCTATGGGAATTTTATGTATGATAAAGCTGTCACTTCACATCTAGGAAAAAGATGTGTTAGCCAAGAAATGCTGTTGGGACATATAGCTAGCCTTGTGGGGAAAAAAGAATAATGTTGGTGCCCTACCTCACTTTTTATAATATAATAAATTCCAGATGAATGAAATAATTAAATGTACCAGATGACAATATGAGGATTTTGTTTGTTTATCTGCTGAATAATTTCATACTGGGGAAGTGTAACACAATACCTAAATGTCATACAAGGAAAGATTGATGAATTTGACTACATGATTATCAAATGTTTCTCCGTGATAAAAAAAAAATCAGCATAAAAACTCAGAAGACAAATACCAAATTTCGGAAAAATAGTGGCAGCACAACCTTTAAAGACGAAGAATTTCAAATAGCTTTTCAGCTGACCTCGTAGAATGAGTTAGGAAGTGTTCCCTCCTGAGAAGGACTGGTGGAAGTCAGCAGTGAAGCCGTCTGGTCCTGGGCTTTTCTTTGTTGGGAGGTTTTTGATCCCTGACTCAGTCTCCTTGCTCGTTGCAGGTCAGTTCAGATTTTCTGTGTCGTTGTGACTTAGTCTTGGTAGGTGTTGTGTTTCTAGATTTTGCCCATTTCATCTAGGTCATCCAATTTGTTGGTGTACAATTGTTCATAGAATTCTCCTATAATACTTTTTATTTCTGCAGACTCGATATCAATGTCCTACTTTCATTTCTGATTTTAGTAATTTGAGAGATATTCTTGACCTTATTTTCCAAAACTTTTATTGAATTTGTAAGTTGAAATTTCAATTATGAGTTTAAAAAAACATCAAAAGGCTCTTTCCTGTTTAAAAATACCATCCTGAATGACTTACAACTAGGATATACAACCATGTACTGCAGCTTTGGGGAGGGAAAAAATAAAAATAAATAAAAATAAATAAAAATAGAAGCCTGTAAATATAGCATTTCTTTTTGGAAAGTTCTGTCTGCTCCTTATTTCTGTTTGTGGTTTTGGTCTTTCATGTTGGAGGCATTCCTCAAACGCCCGATTGAAAGCTTTGTGGGAGGTTTGGGGCCTTGTCGGTTGTGGTCTGCAATGTAAGTTGATCAGGTCGTAGCCTGGTTTTTTGTCTGTTCGTTTGAATGATCCTAAATATTGATATTATTTATAGGTCTTTTCTTCAGAGCTACACAGTTTGTTCAAAGAAGAGACCTTTGAGCTTTTGCCTGTGAGTAGAGCCTGGCTGGATGTGTGCAGGGTGCCAAGTGGGGTCAGCAGGCTGAGAGTGACCATTAGCCTGGGGACTTTGACTCTCCCCTCCTGTTTTCGTTCTGGCCATTGCCCTCACCTGAGTTCATTTCCACAGAGTCGAGCCTTTGGTCCCGGCAGTGGTGGAGGGGTGGAGATGTTCCTCAGATGCCCCCAGCCTCGTCCGTGTCTCCCGTGCGCCTGCTGCCTTCCGGCCCAGAGCCTTCTCAGGGTTCAGTGGATTAAGTCTCTTGATCCCCATCGATCACCCCTGCCCCCCCAGGAACTCTGCTCGGCTCAGTTATTTACCGCTGGTCCTTCCCCCCATCTTATAAAACGTGTCATGTGTCTTGTCCACTGTTGTCCCCTCTCCCATCCTCTTTCCCGTGTGCATTTATACCTTTTTATTCCTTTACTGTTTTTCAATGGAGTTTTGGAAGGGATGGGGACGAACTCGTGTGTAATCCACCATGTTTAACCAGTCTGTGAGTTACTTAAAAAGAAAAATGCCTATCTATCTGTCTATATAGTTGTAGTTATGAGGTAAACTGTGTGCCCCTAAAATCCATATGTTGAAGTCCTAACCCCCAGTCCGTCAGAGTGTGACTGGATTTGGAGACACGGACTTTACAGAGCTATTAAGGTAAAATGAAGTCATATGGATGGATCTTAATCCAGTATGTCTGGTGTTCTCGTAAGGAGGGATTAGTGCACAGATAGAAGGAAGACCAGCTGAGGACACAGGGAGAACACCGCCGTCAACAAACCACGGAGAGAGGCCTCAGAAGCACCAACCCTCCTGACACCCTGACCTTGGACTTCTGACCTCCAGAACTGAGAGAAGAAATGTCTAAGACACCCAGCGTGTGGTGCTTTGTTATGCAATCTCAGCAAATATACACAAACACACACACACAGAGCGGAGTCCTTCCCAAGACGTGGTGCTAGGCACTTGACCTGATCATTTAAAAAGTCCAGATTTGGTCTGTGTCACACAATAATCAGGTGCTTTGTGAGCCGAAGAACAAGGTCAGGATGGCTAATACCAAGCTTAAAAAGAGTTAAAATTGCCTTATTGAGACTAAACATATGAATCCTATTATTTATCTTCAAGAAAAGATAAGAAACCATGATGCCATTTTTAATGTTTTAATGTGGCAGGAAATGAAACTCAGATTTCAATCAGTGGGTGCACCTGAACATCAACTAACATACCATTAACATTGTGAAACTTACAATTATTCTTTCAAGGAAATTCAGCAGACTAATACAAGGAATTTGCACCTTTATAAAGCACATGTAAAGAGTCAGTCTCATAAGTGCAAAATATTTTCCTAAACAAAGTGGTCAGACGGCAGATACCAAGCTGAACGTCCAACAGATCCCTTTAAACCTCACTCAAGGATCCACCACTAGAGGGAGATAGTGAGCGCAAACTAGGTTCTTTGCTCTTTAAACTTGGCAAATTCTCTATTTTTTCAAATAACAAGGCTGTGGAATTATTTTCGTTACATACTTGCGGTAGCCTATAATCACTTTTGATTCCTGGTTTAACCCGAGAACTTCTCTTAACTCCATCTGCCCCATAAATCATGCCAATTTGTTGCAATGGTTTTATACACCATATGCGTATTTGTTAGAACTGTGAACCAGCGCGGGCACAGATAACACACAGCAGCTCAGCCCATGGAAGGCACTTAGAGTAGTTTGGATGCTATGAAATTAAATTTAGTATATTATTTGTTGAATGTAGTAATTTAATAGAATGTTACTATGTAGTCATTAAATGTGTTATTGTGTAATTTCTAATAACATCCAAAAAATAAATGTTAATTCCGTTAAGAGGAAACTCTCTTTTCATGTTTCAGGACAGAGAAGGCAAACAACTTCTGAGAACATCTGCGACTTCACTGGCTGACTCTCAAGGCACCGAATTTAACTGTGACCCAGATTTGGTCTTGGAGCCGATCAGAAGGCACTGAGTTGAAGCCAGGTTTACACTCTGATTCCTCCAAGTCACCACGTGGTTTTATTCGAGAGGGGTCTGGGTAGCAATGAGCTAAGGTTAGAGGTAGTATTTTTGTTATTTGGTAAACATGTGCAGATGGTGTTCACAAACAGCTGCACAGGCCACTCACGGGAGCCAGAACACTTGAAAACACACCTGCTTCTGCTAAATTGCAACGACTTTGCAGAGACTCTGTTTGGAATTGCCTCGTGTTTCCAAATCAAGCTTGGCTTTTAGTAGATTTTAAGCCAAGAACAGATACACACTGGCTTCTAAATCCATCTTTGAATTAAGTTGAAGAAGATATAATCTGATGCCAGCCTGGAGTTAAAAGATGTAGTATTGGAATGATAGATGAGATTTGACCTTGAGGGGAGAACTGTAGATTTCTAGGTCAAGTCAAGTACTTTCCTCTTGGCTGAGACACCGAGATGATTTGTTGCAGCTTTTCCTGGCAACGTATGGTCCTAAGAGCCAATCAGCAAGTGGTGGTGAATGCGGGCGCCAGGGAGCCGGGTGCCCTCCTGGCCGAGCATGTGACTCTGGCCACGTCAGTCCCCTCACAGCCAGAGGTTCCCTAAAGGCTCCTGCATTCCAGTTATCCTGGAATAATGTTCCAGACAAACGAATAAGTTTGAGGCACTGCTGCCTACAATCAGACCTTCAAGTGGGAGAGTTGGAGACACAAGTTTTCTTCCAGGTTCCTGCTCTTTGCCTCATTCACATACTGATTTGAATTTTTCTATAAGACAAAGTGGTATTTTCTCTCACTAGAAGCCCTGCTGGACTCCCACCATCTGTTTAATAAGCAGTAGCCAAGGGAAGAGAGTTTACAGTTTCCTGGTAAACAAGTGGCTCAGCCTGCTGCTCAGGCCACTCGGTGTGCTCTGAGCCACTCGTGTAAGCAAGGGATCCTTGGTTACGTACATTTCCTCTGCATGTGGGCCACAAACACTTACTCAGCACCCAGCCTGCTGCTCAGGCCACTCGGTGTGCTCTGAGCCACTCGTGTAAAGCAAGGGATCCTTGGTTACGTACATTTCCTCTGCATGTGGGCCACAAACACTTACTCAGCACCTTCCGTGGGCCTGACACCTTTCTAGGGGCTGAATATATGATGGTTAAACAGGCCAATCCCTACTTTCCTGTGACTTCTATTGTGGTGGGTAACTACACAAAAGCCCTCTAAATGAATAACTATCTAAATAATTTCAAGTAGGTGATAAGGGCTATGAAAACAATAAAGCTGAGTAGCGGGGCTGAAAGATGATGGGGTAGGAGTGGGTGGTGGGCTGAATAACGGCCCTAATGCCTGTCCAGGCCCTAATCCCTGCACTGTGCCTGTTACCTTATATGGCAAAAGGCACTGAAGATGTGATTAAGCTAAGAATTTTGAGATGAGGAGATTATGTTGGGGAAAATAATTAAAAACAAAATCTCCTGCCAGCCCAGAAAAGCTCCCCATAAAGGTAGAAGAGAAAGAAAACAGTTTTTTTTTAATTGAATAAGCATTACACCAGAATGAGAGGCACATCACCGGCCATCCCCTAAGAGACTGCAAAGACGGAAAGAAATCTCGCCCTGTTATACAGCATGGCAGATGCAGCCCCCACACACCTTCCCCAGATAAGCCGTACCTGGTCCTCAGGCGAGAGGACCTGACGGCGCCATTTGCACACACAGTGCATCCCAAATTCACGAGGTAATTGGGGTGACCACCTGTGTTAGCGGGTTGCCTTTCTCCAAAGGAGAAACACACTTGTCCTGTCCTTACGACAGGTGGTGGTTTTGCGGCTTGGGCCAGGCACCACGGGGGCTTGGAGACAGGGCCCTATCTCCCTTGATGGTTACATCTCAAAGAGCTGGCTCCCAGGTCCTGAGAAGGACAGTCCCGGGGTGTGGAGCTGGCAAGAGGCTTATTGAGCTTTTAAAAAGATTTACAGACATGTCAGAGGGGCAGAGAAAAATGCACAGTGACAGGTTTTCAAAGGAAAGGGATGGTGGTTATGGGGAAAGTGTCTCCCTTGTGGCACCAGGGAGTGTTAAAACTTATTTTTCTGAGTTTTAATTTGTATTCGCCCTTACAATTACCCTGGATTATCTGGGTAGCCCCTAAATGTATCACGAGTGTCCTTGGAAGAGGGAGGCACAGGGAGATCTGACTATAGCAGAGACAGAAGGTAACGCAACGACGTAAGCAGGAGGCGGTACTGCTGGCTTTGAAGGCGAGGGGGGGCCCTGAGCCCTGGAGCACATGGCATGTAGCTCTAGAAGCTGGAAAGGGCAAGGAAACAGATTCTCCCCAGGGCCTCTGCAGGGAGCGTGGCCCTGCCCACATCTTGATTTCAGCCCAGCGGAACTGAGTTTGGACTTCGGGCTTCCAGAACTGTAAGAGAATAAATGTGTGTTGTCTTAGCCACCAAGTCCGTGGTCATCTGTCAGAGCAGCCACGGGCATGAGATATGAGTGCACAGGCGGGAGTGGAGAGGAGAGAGGGCCATTGGGAAGTGAGTTTTGAAGAGAGGATACTTGAGCCCGAATCTGGATAAAGTGAGGGATTGACTCCCATAGAGATCTGGAGGAACAGCATTGTAGGTGGACGGAACAGCAGCTCCAAAGGCCCCACGGTGGGGACGAGCTGTTGTGGCTGTGCAGAGATCCCGCAGGACCTCAGGGACACGGAGTTAGAGAGGCATGGTTAGACCGGGTGGAACCTTAGAGGCCGTGGCAGCGGTTTGCGATGATTTCACAATGTGAAGTGAGCAACCTGATCTATTTAAAAGGCTCCATTAGGTCAGGAGACTGGACTCCATGGCAGCCAGACAGGAGGCAGGGAGAGTAGGAGGTGGCGGCTGCAGTGGGCCAGGGGCGCAGCGGCTGTGGTGAGAGGCAAGAAGTGGTGAGCGGGGCCTCAGCCTTGGTGTACCCAAGCTCTGGTGCTCGCTGCAGGAACTCCGAGATCTCTGCCTGGTTTCCTTTTGACCAACCATGTTCTTTTTCTTTTAGAAAAACGGACTCCTGGGGCTGGCCCCGTGGCTGAGTGGTTAAGTTCACAAGCTCCGCTTCAGTGGCCCAGGGTTTCGCCGGTTCGGATCCTGGGCGTGGACCTAGCACCACTCATGAGGCCATGCTGAGGTGGCGGTCACATGGCACAAACAGAAGGACCTACAACCAGAACATACAACTATGTACTGGGGGGCTTTGGGGAGAAGAAAAAAAAAGAGGAAGATTGGCAACAGATGTTAGCTCAGGGCCAATCTTTAAAAAGAAAAGAAAAGAAAAACAGACTGCTGGAACTAGATATGCAACAGAAAAGTGTCCTCTCTTACAGGAGCAATGCATTCTGCATGTGTTCATGCATGCAAGGATATTTTTAGAACTGCAGAAGTAGGAGCATTTTGATATTTTCCTGAAGAGTTTCCCCATGACCTGGCAAGACTACTTTCACCCAAGATGCTGGCCTCGGACAGTCAGGGCCTCCCTCTTTTTGGGCCTCAGCCACTCTCTCTCCAGGTCCGGATGCTGGGAGGGCTTATAGGATGGAGGGCTGTGTGAGCTCGTACAGGTGACTGTGCCCACCTGGGGCATTCCCAGGTGGTACCTGCTCACTGCCTCGCCTGCGAATGCTGGTATCAGATTTGTGAGTTTCTAAATCTGCCTTCGGGATGCTGTCGGAAGCAGGAATTCACAATAGTGACAGTAAGTTCTATTAGAATGAAGTTTCCCTCTCTTCTCTCTTGCTCCCTAGTCTCCTCCAGCTTTTCAACTGTCATCACTCAGAAATTGTCAACAAGCATCTGGTTTTATCCCATATTCAGCACCAACCCAAGAGCAATTTCCATCGCTAAACCAGGGTTAAAAGTCCTCTCAACACCCATCACACTGTGGAAAAACAGCACCGACTGCTTCTGTCTGGCTCACGATCAGGCCCAGCACCTGACACAGTGGCAGATGGTGGGCACTGAATAAATATTTGTTGGATGTATGTGCGCGTCTCGTGGGGAGGACTGGGACGCCATCTGTAAGAGGTGGATGCAGTTTTCCCTCTTGCAGCTACAGGACTGCTTCTAAACAACACTTGGGCGTCTCCATAGAGGGTTTCTGGAGACGCTGTTCCCCTCATCCCTGGCATGCCCACCTGCTTTGCCGTCTCATGCAGTAGGGGGGTGCAGGCACTGTTGGAGGGGAGATGCACCCCCTCCCCAGGGGCCCTCTCAATTTTTGCTGTCCAGTGGGTCCCATACCCTGTACAGCCTATCTTCCTCCCACAGCTGAGACCATCTCCATTGGGCTGGGCCGTTTGGCTGGTTGCTGCGCCACCCTCCCTAAGGCACATTGAGGAGTGAAGTCCCAAATACCAAGGCCTAGAATTTCTGGCTGCCATAACGGTTCAGGAATCCCTCACAACTCCTTTGCCACTCATTGTCTCTCTCCAGAGCAAAGGCCCAGACATGCTATACTTAGCTTCCTTTGGCTATGCCAAAAGAGGAGGCTACAGCAGGTGGTTATCTCCTGACTGGGCGAGAAGACATTTCTTCCAGTGGGGGATGGGGAGTGAGCGAGTAGTTTAGGGTCTTGGTTAAGCCAAAAGCCTTTCTGCCAAGAGACTGGTTACGGACAGATGAAGATGCTTTGTGAGTCTGTGCAGGAATTCCCCAGAGGGCTCTTGCAGGAATGCAGTTATCAAGCAGCACAAGATGCTCCACATTTACACCGAACTAACAGGTATTTCACAATTACACTTGATGCTCCTCCCACACACATAACTTTAGGGGTTAAGAATGGGACACGGTTCCTAACAGCCACTATCCAGCTGTGTGGCCTTAGGCAAATTCCTTAACATCTCCGAGTCTCAGTTGTTTCATTTGTAAAATGAAGACTAGAAGAGTATGTTTCTTAGGGTTAAGAGGGTTAAATGAGATATGTATATAGAGAGTTCACCCCTGTGTCTGACACAGGATAAGGACTCTAAATACTAACTACAATTACTAAGTATTTAGGTAGAAACCAGAGGATCTTCTGATAGCATTGATGATAGAAAAATCCATTCTTCTGC